TACCCCAATCCCCATTCAGGCTACCCTGTTCCCCTCTCTGGTTTTCCCAGTCCTGATTGCTCCCTCTGTAAGCACAAGGATAATTTCAAGGCAAGTTACTTCTTAGACCCTGTTTTCCCATCTTTAAAATAAGCTATTCGCAGAAACCGGTTTGGCTCAGCGGATAGAGCATCCATCTGCGGACTGAAAGGTTGGATTCTGGTCAAGGGCACGTACATTGGTTGCGGGCACATCCCCGGTAGGGGGTGTGCAGGAGGCAGCTGGTCGATGTTTCTCTCTCATCAATATTTCTAGCTCTCTATCCCTCTCCCTTCCTCTCTGTAAAAAATCAATAAAATAAATTTTTTAAACTAAGCTATTAATCCCTCAGGATGGATTGCACAATTTTTTAAAGCTGGACACTATGTAAATGTGTATGTAGACTTTAAGCATTTCTCTCCAGGTACCTCCCCCTCCACATACACACCTCCTGTTTGCAGAGTGCTGGGGGAGGTGGAAGTGTGATGGGAGCCCTGCTGTCTAGTCACACACAGCAGCCCGAACTAGGAGATTGCATATGAGGAAGTGCCAACCTGAGCTCTGGGGAGTTCAGAAAAAGAAGGATGATATATTTCCCTGGGTCCCTTAAGTTAAATAATGACAGAGCCTCTTGAATCTTCACCCGCTCTCAAGCCAGGGCTCATTCACCTGTTCCCCCACCCAATGTCCTTCCAGAGCACAGACTCCTAGGCACGTGCAAGAGTCAGTGACCTATGTCCCTGTGGCCCTCATCATTTTGAGGACAAGGGTGTCAATACTGTCACGGATGAGAGAGAGAGAGAGAGAGAGAGAGAGAGAGAGAGAGAGAGAGGGGATGGATCAGGCCAGGTCATGGCTAGAGCTCAGGTTTGAGTCAAACCCTAGAAAGGTCTTTAATAGGTGGTGGGGAGGAGGAATGGGTGGAAACTGTAGGGCCCAAGATGGTGCGGGAAGACCATCCTCGTTGAATGAAAGGAGATGGGCGCTGATTCTGAGAGGGCTTCCCAGATTGCTGCTGAGTGAAATGACTGAGCTTAGGAGGGACAGGCTACCGCATTGCCTGGAAGTTCCCTGAACGGTCTGGAGTGAGCTGAAAGGGAAGGCAGGCGTCTCAGACACAGTAGTCCCTGAGGAGGTGCACGCCAGTTAAGATTTGGTTGAGTGTACAGGTACAAATAATGATTGTGGCTTATTAAAAACAAACAAACAAAAAAAACCCCAGCATTTTCTGAGTGCATTTATGGTCAAGCTATTACTTCATCCCTCCAGACCTGACCTCCACCCACCCAGACGTCCAGCTGACAGACCAGGCGATGGGGACCTGGAGCTGAGAATCAAGATCCTGTTCTGTGTTCAGAGCTGTCCCAATGCTTGGTCTCACGTACTGTGGCCCTCAAGGCAGGGAGCACAAGGGGGTGGCAAGAGTGAGGACAGGCCTCGGGCTCTCCGGCTTTGGGGGAGTTTTAAGTCCCCAGAGGAGGTTTAAAGAGGGGATGGGGGCGGGGAAGAAATCCTAGAAGGGAGAGGCGGACTATAAGCCGTTGACGGCTCTGGGGGTAGGGAGGCTACCACCAGGGGGCAGTGTTGGGGCTGCCGGCCTTGGGGGCGGGGGCGCCAGTGGCCGGCGAGCTGTTTGTTAGCCTTGGCTTTACACTGTGCAGGGTGGGGGCAGTGAAAGGAGACAGCAGCACCTGCCCGGCACCTTCCCCGGGCGCCCCGCCTCCCAGGGCCCCGCCCACCCCGGCTCCGCCCCCGCCCCGCCCCGCGTCTGACCGCGGCCCCTTGATCCTGCAGCTGGTGCCTCGGGGCCGCGGAGCTGCGCGTCGCTGTCTCTATGGCCCGGGATCCGAGCGCAAAAGGTGAGAGAGGCCGGGAGTGCGGGCGGCGGAGGTGCTTGGGCTCTGGCGGGCAGGGGCCAGGCCAGGCCTTCCCCGCATCCATCCCTCCCTCCAGGCTGGGCCAGGCCTTTCTCCCCGCCCGGCCCCCGGCCTCAGAAAGACCGGCGAGGGGCGCGGGCCGGGCCTCCAGCCGCGCTGGGCGCAGACCTGCGAACGTGGGGTCGGGGATCCGCGCAGGGCGGGGGCCGCTTGGCGGACAGTGTCCTCGGGATCTGGGTCACGTCTCCTGATGTCAGGCGGGACAGGAGAGCTTGTCCTCGAGCTGCAGCAACAGAGATTGAGGTTAGACCCGAGGAAAGGAGAGAATTCCGGGAGGAGATGGTGGAGGAAGGAGGCATCGGGGAGGGGCTCTCAGGCCAGGAGAGACCACCATCGCATTGGGCGGGGGGGTGGGGGGGAGGTAAGCAGGTGGACCTCTGGAATGAAGACTGAGAGCCTGCCGATCCTACATTGATCTTGCGGGGGGGTGGGGGGGAGGGGTCTCCCCTCCTCAGTTCTCTCTGTCCTAGGACCTGCCTTAGTGGGAAGGTGATCAGAGTCCAGGGGGGCTGGCCCTGGGGAGCCACCCAAACTGTGGAACCAGGGGTGGAGTGTGGGGTGTGGACTGGAGACCTTGAAGCCGTGTTGCCCCTTAACCGCGCCCTCTCTCCCAAAAGCTTAGGCCCAATTCCCATATCCAGAGCTGCAGTGTACAGGGCAGTAGAGGAGTGCCAAGTTAGCTGTTCCATTCCGTCTTTCCTGGACTAGAACGAGGGGCCTCTTTCCTCCCTTGCAGAGCAGCCTTGACTCATGAACCCATCCCATCTGAGGTCAGAAGCCTCCCCCCATCTCACACACACACAGTCTGGCCTTAGAATTGGGACATTGGAGAGCAAGTTGGGGTTCTGCTCTGAATCTTACCTTCCGTGGACACTTGCAGCCTCCAGGCCTGCCCTGAGAATCAGACCCCTGTATGTACGTATGCTTGTACATCTGTGTGTACGTATGCTTGTACATCTGTGTGTGTGAGGACTGTGAACGTGCATGTACTTGAACTTTCTGTGAACATGACAGTGCCTGAACCACTGTATCAATGAGTTTGTGTGCATGTCCCTCCACATATGTGTACATGTGCGGTACCCATATGCACATATGTGGGTTTGTAGCATCTGTGTGACCTGCTGAATGAATGGGCATGTAATGATAACCTTGCATGTGAATACATATGAATACATGTGGTAGGGCCTTTCCGTGAACATCTGTGTGCGCAAACCTTCCTGTGAATGTGTGTGTGCATGGCTCTCTTGAGTGCATGTGTTCACAGCCCTCCTCTACGTAATGTGTATGTACCTGTTTGTGTGCACATCACCCTCTTCTGGACACACGTGACTCTTGTGTAAACCTGTGTGAGTGTGCCATTCATCACACTCTGAGTGGTTCCTCTGACCTGGGCTGTGTTCCTCCCGCCCAATCCTAGGAACCAATTCCTCCTCACCAGGGCCCCCCTCCTTCTGCACTAAGCAAATAAGAGGCCCCAAAGGTAAACAGGTGTGCCTCCGCAGGGAGGAGTGGAGTTTGCCTCTGGCTTCCTGCTGTCCCAGCCCCTGAACCAGCAGTGGATGCCCTTTCTGTGGTCCAGGGACCCTCTTCTCTCTATTCACACGCCATTCTCCCGCTCTGGGCTCTGCCCACTACAGTGCTGACCTTTACCTCTTGAATAAACGCTCCAAATTCCCGTTGTTCTTCCTCTGGCAAGCTCCTGGTCCCTCCCCTCTCTTCAAGGCCACATAGTTAATGTTTGACCTGGAAGGGAAAGGAGAGGCCAGTGACCCTGTCTGTGAGCTTCTGATGAGATGGGGCGGGGAGGGGGTCAGGCTTCCTCCACACATAGCCCAGCTCAGAAAGTCTTCAGGAGCCTCTCAGAGACCAGGCCTGTACATGGCGCAGAGGAGGCCACCCACCCCATCCCATCCCCGGCTAGGTGGCTTGGAGGAGGGTGCAGGTGTGGGAACAGTCTCCAAGAGATGCCTGGGGAGGTGGCCAAGAGCTCAGGGATCCCATTGTTTGCCTTTTCCGTGTTGCTCACGCCTGTTCGCTGGCCTTGCCCACTGGAGCCTCCTGCGTAGACATTACCCGCATGCAGCCGGCGGGGCAGATGCCCCCATGCCTGTGAGTGGCTGTTTGCAGGTAGGGACATGTGCGGATGCCTGGGCAGCGGGCGCAGTACAGACTCGAACGGGCAGGGCGGAGATGTGCACCCCCTCGGAGAGGAATGCTGAGGAGAAGTGTCTAATTAAAGAGAAATTCCAGAGGGAGCTCTCAGGCCCGGGAAGAGGAAAAAACAGGACAAAATAAACAAAGACCCATTAACCGACTCTGCCTGGGCCTTCCTGCACAAAGCACCCCCGCAGGCAGCCTGGGCAGCTGCTGCCCAGCTGGGTCTCATTGTTGGGAGGAGAAGGCATTGTCCCCCCGAGGACCCAAGCTCCACCAAGATGGAGGTCTCGCTAAGCTTCTGACTTGGTCAGAGAAGGGCTGTGAACTTGGGTTTGGGTTGGGAGAGTCAAGGGTCTTGTAAAGAGGGCGAGTTCCACCCGGCTTCCTGGCTCAGAATGACTGGGTCAGTCCTGGCGTGGGAGTTCTGTGGAGGCTTGGCCAACTCCCCGTCACTGCTCCCTGTGGTCTGGGGGTAATGTCATCTGCCTTCCACCCACACACAGATCAAAGGGCTTTTTTTCCTTGTGTTTCTTTTTTTTTTTCTTTTTTCCCTTCAGAAACCAGATCTCCGCTGTCCAGGCAGGGAAACCTCATCAGTGACCTACAACCCCTCTATGACCCACCTGCTCTCTCTCACCATGGAGTTTGTATTTGATGCGGACAGGCAGCGTGGGATCCTCTGACCTCTGACCTTGGATTCCATGGCCATACAACCCTATGATTCCATGTCCCCCCAATTCCAGGACCCTCCCTGGTCCCTTGACCCCTGACCTTCCAAGTGCTTTCCCTAGACCTTGACCCCTGAGACTATTCTTCCCATCATCCCATTGACTCTGGCCCTGGCTCCCCGTGGGGGTCTTGTTGGTCTTGTTGGGCTTCCCCAGGAAGATGTGGGGGAGGCTCTGGCGCCTTCTCCTGAGTGTCCTCACAGCAACTGCAGTCCCGGGACCCTCGCCACGAAGACCATCCAGAGAACTAGATGCCACCCCGCGGATGACTATCCCCTATGAAGGTTAGACCAGCTCCCCACCTCAGAAGGCAGCAGGGGCTGGGGCTGGGGCTGGGGGCAGGCCAAGAACTGGGCTCACAGCTCCTGCTCTCCCCAGAGCTCTCTGGGACCCGGCACTTCAAGGGCCCCGCCCAGAACTACTCGACACTGCTGCTGGAAGAGGCCTCAGCAAGGCTGCTGGTGGGAGCCCGGGGCGCCCTGTTCTCTCTCAATGCCCGCGACATAGGAGACGGGGCACACAAAGAGGTCAGCCCCTGAAACCGGGACCACCCAGAGGGTCTCCCGCTTCATCCCGCTCCCGGGACCTCAATTTCCCGAAAACTCTGCAGCCTTCCCTAGCTCCCTGGTCAGACAGTTCTGCCCTTCCCAGCCCAGGTCTCTCTTACACCCAATGCTCCTCCTGATACCCCCACCCCAATTCCCTCCATTTCCTGGGGTCCCATCACCTGGTCTCACAGGTCATAGAGAAAGGCAAGGGTATTGGGGTCAGTGCATCAGCCTTCCTCCCTTTTCCCCCCTCCAGATCCTCTGGGAGGCCTCCCCGGAGATGCAAAGCAAATGTCATCAAAAAGGAAAAAACAATCAGGTAAGTGGTCTGCCCCGTCCCCAGCTCCTTCCCTCCTCCTCCTCAATCGGGGATGTGAGGGTTAAGAACACAGACGGAGAGGTAACCATCAGCCAGTCAGTTGCAGCAACCACAATAAACACTGTAAGTGCTTCTGCAGTGGCAAGCCCTGGGCACAGTACTTCTAATTCAAACATCTGGTGACCTACTAGCCTGGTCTGTGATGGCATCTTAATTTCCTCTGGGCTCCCAAATAACAATCATGATAACAATAATTAATCTCTGGTAAGGGCTGACAGCTATTATCTCGCCTAATTCTAAAATTACCCTGTGAAATAGTGTTGTTCTCCATTTTGGAGGTGAGAAAAATGAGGTTCTGGTCAAGGAATAGCTCAGGGACCCAGTATTCTGTCTGCAGGGGTCCCCTGTCTGACTGTGTCACAGATCCATCTGGGGAGCTTTTAAAAATATGCATTCCCGAGGTGCACTGACCCAGGGATTCTGACTCAGCGAGTCAGGACTGGTTCCGGGGCAGCTGTGTTTGAAGAGGTGCCTCTTGGAGCTTTCATCACAGGCTGCCTCCTGGGGCAGCGAGGACGGGAAATGGGGCTGGGAGGCAGGTGGGGCCCAGGTCACAAAGGGCTGCAAACGCCCAGCTGGGGATTTGGATTTTATTCTGGGACAGCGGGCACCCTCACCCAGAAGGCTCAAGATTTTGCAATTCTAACACGCTCCCAGGTGAAGCTGACACTGCTAGTCTCTGGACCACGCTTTGGGTCATTTCCCAAAACATATACTGAGGAACGTTAATTTTCAAAAGAGGGATTTAATTGTCAGATGAGTTTGGGAAATGCTGCAAGCTCAATCCCATAATGCATAGCAACACCCTTAAGGTTCTTAGAAGTTCCGGGAAAGGTAGGTTTCCAACTTATTTGACTACAGAATTCCTCCGTCCTGCCTTTATTAATGTAAACATCTTTTTTTAAATACATTTTATTGATTTTTCACAGAGAGGAAGAGAGAAGGAAATAGAGTTAGGATCATCGATGAGAGAAAAACATCGACCAGCTGCCTCCAGCACACCCCCTACTGGGGATATGCCTGCAACCAATGTACATGCCCTTGACTGGAATCGAACCTGGGACTCTTCAGTCCATAAGGCCGACGACGCTCTATCCACTGAGCCAAACCGGTTTCAGCAAATGTAAACATCTTGAGGAAGCATTACTTACTATAGGAATAGTTATCCAGCCCCAGGCCTCAGATGGATTAAAATGGAGTCTGAAGGCTGGAAAGGCAGTAGGGATGTTGGGGGCATGGTGTGGGTCAGAGGGGGGATGAATGCCAAAATACTGCACCCAGTGAGGGAGCTGGATGAGACAGACACCTGTGTGGATTCAAACCCTGGGTAACAGGCAGGAGGAGGAGTCATTAACAAGGCAAAGAAGTCAAGAGGGTGGTAGCTTAAGGCATTTGGTGGGCAGAGAAGGCCTGTGTGGCTGGAGGAGGGTGAGGCCAGCGTGAGGGGCAGAGACAGGAGCTTAGGACTCCGTGAGCCATTGAAAGCTGTTTAAATATAGCAGGGACATGATCTGGTTTAGATTTTTAAAAATTGCCTTGGAAAAAAGTGGGTTGCAAGAATATGCTGATTGGTAGAATATCTCTGGAAGGAAACTCTAGACAATGGTAACAGCAGTCTCTTTTGAAGCAACAGGGATAAAAAGGAGACTCTGTTTACAACATATTTCTTTGTACCTTTTGAATTGAACACTGTGTGCGCATATTCTCTATTTGTTGAAGAAATAAGTCATTTTCTCATAAAGAGTGATGGGTGGTTGGGAGTGTGGTCAGGTAGTGGCTGCAGGAATTCAGGGAAGCGTTTGCTGGTGGTAATTTGGACTCAGGTAGGGGCAGTGAACCAAGTCCAGAGACATTTAGGACAAAGGGCCATTTCATCAGGGAGCAGGTCTGAGTGTGGGGGTGAAGGAATGGGAAGCAGCAACGATGACTCCTGGTTTCTGGACTGAGTAGGATGCAGGGAGGAAGAAAGGAGGGAAAGACTGGATGAGCAGGTTTAGGAGGGAAGGTGCAGGTGAGGGAGGAGGGGATGAACTTGCTTTCTGACAAGGTGAGTCTGATGTGTCTGGAAATATCAGGTGGAGAGAGGGCTGGAGCCTGAGGATAGATATGGCAGGGTCACTCCAAAGGGAGCTCCAGGATTGGGGGACATTGCTGAGATGTGAGAGAAGCATGGTAGGGTAGGGAGAGCCTGAGAGTACCTGACCTGATGGTGCAGGAGAAGCTGATCGAGTATATAATGTAATATAAGAGATCGAGGGGCCCTAGCTGGTTGGCTTGGTGGATAGAGCATCAGCCTGCAGACTGAAGGATCCCAGGTTTGATTCTGGTCAAGGGCATTTGCCGGATTGCCGGTTCGATTCCCAGTAGTGGGCATGCAGGAGGCAGCCCATCAATGATTCCCTCTCATCATTGATGTTTCTATCTCTCTCTCCCTCTCCTTTCCTCTCTGAACTCAATAAAAATATATATATTTTAAAAATAAAATACTAAAAAATAAAAATAGAGAGGAGAAGAGGAGTCATGCCCTTGGGAGGCCAAAGGAGAGCAAGTTCCAGGGAATATTCTGTGTTCTGGGCACTGGGATCTTAGAAAGAACTGTGAGTCCTGTGAGTGGGGATAGGAGCCAGACTACCGCCGAAACCGGTTTGGCTCAGTGGATAGAGCGTCGGCCTGCAGACTGAAAGGTCCCAGGTTCGATTCCGGTCAAGGGCATGTACCTTGGTTGCGGGCACGTCCCCAGTGGGGGGTGTGCAGGAGGCAGGTGATAGATGTTTCTCTCTCATCGATGTTTCTAACTGTCTCTCTCCCTTCATCCCTATAAAAAATCAATAAAATATATTTTTTTAAAAAGAAAGAAAGGAAGGAAGGAAGGAAGGTAGGAAGGAAGGAAGGAAGGAAGGAAGGAAGGAAGGAAGGAAGGAAGGAAGGAAGGAAGGAAGGAAGGAAGAAAAGAGCCAGGCTACCCAGCTGGACCAATGGAAGAGGCCTCTAAGCAGGCCCAGGGCTCATACCCCCCCTTACCTCTCCCACAGACCGAGTGCTTCAACCATGTGCGGCTCCTGCAGCGTCTCAACGCCACCCACCTCTACGCGTGTGGGACTCACGCCTTCCAGCCGCTCTGCGCAGCCATTGTGAGTGCGCCTGTCCCAGGCACGATCATTGGTCCTTGCCCCTGGGCTGGTCTGACCGTGGGCCCTGCCTCTGAACTCCCCTTCCCCCAGGACGCCGAGACCTTCACCTTGCCAACCAGCTTCGAGGAGGGGAAGGAGAAGTGTCCTTATGACCCAGCCCGGGGCTTCACAGGCCTCATCATCGGTGAGCATGCTCTCCCCCCACATGCCTCCCTCATCCTCATGCATGCTGTGTGATGGACACAGATGTCATTGCTAGGACTTGCCACCATGGGCGTCATGTGCCTCGTTGTACGTGACATGTCTCCTGCCTGGCATGTCCCTACCCCAGATGGAGGCCTCTACACAGCCACCCGGTACGAATTCCGGAGCATTCCCGACATCCGCCGGAGCCGCCACCCGCACTCCCTGAGGACTGAGGAGGCGCCCATGCACTGGCTCAATGGTTAGGAGGAGGAGGCTCAGGGTGATGGGGGCAGGGACTGTCTTCATCTTCATTCCCTTGGGCAGTTGACCATCCTATCCCAAGTCCCCAGGCGAGCCTGCCGATTCCTGTGTACTGTTGAGTGAGGGGTTAGGGGGAAGGGGGAAGCCACGTGAGATGTCTCCGAAGCCACTTGAAACTGCCCGACCCACAGATGCTGAGTTTGTGTTCTCCATCCTGGTGCGGGAGAGCGAGGCCAGTGCGGTGGGGGACGATGACAAGGTTTACTACTTCTTCACGGAGCGCGCAGCGGAGGAGGGTTCGGGCAGCTTCGCTCAGAGCCGCAGCAGCCACCGGGTGGCCCGTATGGCCCGTGTGTGCAAAGTGAGTAGGACTGAGGTTGGGGCGAGGGTATAGAGGCCGAACCACTGACCCTGGCCCCTGACCCCATGCCCCTGCCTCACCAGGGAGACCTGGGAGGGAGGAAGATCCTACAGAAGAAGTGGACCTCCTTCTTAAAGGCGCGTCTCATCTGCCACATCCCACAGTACGAGACCCTGCGTGGTGTCTGCAGCCTGGACGCTGACACCTCCGCCCGCACACACTTCTACGCGGCCTTCACGCTGACCACACAGTGGTCAGTGCAGGGACAGTGGGGAGGCAGGAAACTGGGGACGGCACAGGGGCTGGAGCAGAGGTTACTGAGGATAAGACAGGATCCACTGTGGGGAGGTCTGGCTGCAGAGAAAGAATTCCAAGCATGTCTAGCTGGCCTGGGGCTGGAGGCCACAGCGGCCTACTGACCCGCAGGAGGCCCTGTGGGCCTGGAGCTGGGGTTAACCAGGGTAACAGTGGCTGCAGGCTGGGCAGGTGGCAGACAGGCAGGCTCCACTCAGTGTGACTCAGCCCTCTCCCCTGTGCATTATCCCTAGGAAGACCCTGGAGGCCTCAGCCATCTGCCGCTATGACCTGACGGAAGTGCAAGCTGTCTTTGCAGGCCCCTACATGGAGTATCAGGACAGTGTCCGGCGCTGGGGCCGCTATGAGGGTGCGGTGCCGGAGCCCCGGCCAGGCTCGGTGAGGGAGCAGGCCTGGGGTAGGGTGCTCAGTAGGCAGCTCCCCTCCTGGGAGGGACTGAAGGGTCTGGGCCTGTGGGGAGCACAGGCAGGAGGACAAAACCCCTGGGAGAGGAGGATCCTTGGGGGGAGTCCTGACGTTCACCACCTCTGTCCCCCACCCCAGTGCATCACAGATTCCTTGCGCAGTCAAGGCTACAACTCATCCCAGGACCTGCCATCGCTGGTCCTGGACTTTGTGAAGTTGCACCCCCTGATGGCTCGGCCCGTGGTGCCCACACGCGGACGGCCCTTGCTGCTCAGGCGCAGCGTGCGTTACACACACCTCACAGGGACACCTGTCACCACGCCTGCCGGACCCACCTATGACCTGCTCTTTCTGAGCACAGGTGCTTCTGACCCCTGGCCTGAGCCCTCTGGTGACTGCCGACCTGTCCTTTGATCCCTGTTGACCTCTAGTCCCTTGATGACCCTTGGTCACAAAAACCCTGGTAACCATTGATGTTGATTATTCAGTGAATACTCTCTACTGGCCCCTAGTGAACACTTGGTTTTGGAGACTTTTGACTCCTGAAACCAACTACAATGACATTTGACCCTGATCACTAATGCTTCTTAACGCAATTCCTGCCATGACAAGCCCAGAGTTCCCAATGTCCTGAGGGCCCACTGCTACTGGCCGAATCCTGTCGCTGACCTCATGACTCCCGAGCTGGTCCCATTAGGCTACTGCAGGGGGCCAAGAGCAGATTCCATTGCTGGGATCTGACCTGCCCTTTTCATCCCAGCTGATGGCTGGATCCACAAGGCTGTGGTCCTGGGCTCTGGGATGCACATTATCGAAGAGACACAAGTGTTCAAGGAGCCCCAATCTGTGGAGAATCTGGTCATCTCTCCGAAGCAGGTAACCTCTGACTCGTGATCCTCAAAACGGTCTTGCCAGAATAGGGGAGTTGGGGAGGCTGGGCATTGGCTGTGTACGTGTCTGTAGGTGAGAGTGGGGTTGTTGCTGACAAGCTGTCCTCTCTGGCTCTCAGCATAGCCTCTATGTGGGGGCTCCTAGTGGAGTCATCCAACTGCCACTGTCCAGCTGTTCCCGCTATCGCTCCTGCTATGACTGCATCCTGGCCCGGGACCCTTACTGCGGCTGGGACCCCAGCACTCATGCCTGCATGGAGACCACCACCATCATGGCGAACAGGTCTCAGGGTAGCAGGCGGGAAGTGGTAGGGGATGCAAGGGTCCCATGTACTTGGGGACTCAGAACCTGAAGGGAACAGGCAGGCCTGCCAGCTGTAGGGCGAGTGGGAACCAGTTCTTGGTAACAGCCTATTGACCCCTCCACTGGGGGACCCGAAGCCCCAGTTCCCTTGTTCATGAGTCCTGGTCTTCTGTCTCCAGGACAGCACTGATACAGGATATAGAGAGAGGAAACCGAGGCTGTGAAGGCAACAGGGACACAGGTACGTGATATTCGTGCGTGTGTGTGGGTCTTGCTGTCCTCCTCACCATTTACATGACTTGTATGTATGGACATGTATGTATCTGAATGGATGAGTCTGTGTGCTTTCAGATTTAGGCACAGAGCAAGTGCTCAACAAGCATTTGTTGCCCAAAAGAATTATAAATGAGGAAATATACTCACTTCCGGAGCTTACAGCCAAGTGGAGGGAGGAGGGACTGGCAATCACACAATTAATTACAAGTATTTCCACTGGTTTTTGTTACAAAAGAAATAATTACAGCAATGACAAGGGTTTGAAGGATAATGGGTACTTCCCCAAGAAGGATCAGATGACTGAGATAATATATGAAGAGCAAAAGTTATCATAGCTAATATGTACTGAGTATGTGCGGGGCATTCACATACACAATCCCATTTATTCTCTCAGCATTCCCGTAGAGAGGTGCTATTATCATCATCATTCCCCCAAGGGGGACAGCCTCTCTGAGGCACAGGGAGAATAAGTAAACCGACCGAAGTCAATCAGGTACTAAGCGGCAGGGTCCGAATTTGAACCTGTGCCCAACAGTCAGACTGAAGTCTGTGCTTTTGACCACTGCAATGCTCTCCCCTTAAGTTAACCAGGCAAGTGGGGGCCACTGAGAGAGGGATGGCACCCAAGTAGAGGGAACAGCAGCCAGAGTGAGCTTGGTGTGTTTGAGCAACAAGAGGCTGGAGAAGTGGGGAGGGACCATGCTAAGACAGAGGAGTGATATGACCAGTTGAATGTTTTTAAAAGGTCACCCCCCTGCTGCTTAGGTTAGATGGGGACCAGAGTGGGCCAGCAGATGGGGAAGGAGAGGAGTGAACAGGTCTGGGATAGATTCCATAAGCAGGATCTTGGGTGAGAGTTATACAAAGGTGAGGGGGTGGAGGCAGGGGAGAGGCCAGGGTGACTCCCAGGTTTCTGAGGGAAGCATCTGGGTAGCTGGTAATGATATGCACAGTGATAACAATTGGAGGAAAAGATTTGGTGTAGTTTGAGACAGAGGCTTTAGCCTTAGCTCCTGTGACGTGTACAAGAGACTCAGGTGGTTGCCCAGCAGGTGGGAGATAGTAAAGTCTGATGCCCAGGAGAGAACTCGGTGCAGGAGGTAGATATTAGGTGTCACCAGCAGATGGCAAGAATTGAAACCACAGGGAAGGGCCAATGTGTGCCTTCTGTGTGAGCAAAAATGCGGAGCTTGGCCAGTTGTCACTGTGATTCCAGATTCTATGCTTGGTGCTGGGGACCTAGCAGTGAGCCATCTGGCTTGCCATCTCCAGTGCCTTCCCTAGGATGGGCAGGCATTGACTGCTTCTCCTGTCCCCTGCTCTCCCCAGGGCCGCCCCCACCTCCAATGAAGACACGCACTGTGCTCCGGGGTGATGACGTCCTCCTGCCCTGTGACCAGCCATCCAACCTGGCCCGGGCCTTGTGGCTGCTCAATGGGAGCGTGGGCCTGAGTGATGGGCAGGGTGGCTACCGCGTAGGCGTGGATGGGCTGCTGGTGACAGACACACAGCCCGAGCACAGTGGCAGCTACGAGTGCTTCGCCGAGGAGAATGGCCTCCGCACCCTGCTGACCTCCTACAGCCTCGTGGTACGGCCTGCCACTCCTGCCCCGGCTCCACAAGCCCCTGCCTTGCCCGGGGCACAGTTGGCATCTGATGTGAGGCTGCTCTATGTGCTGGCCATCGCTGCCCTTGGCGGCCTCTGCCTCATCCTGGCTTCCTCCCTCCTCTACGTGGCCTGTCTTCGGGGCGGCAGACGAGGGCACCGGCGGAAATACTCACTGGCTCGGGCTGGCAGGGCAGGGGGCTCTGCCGTGCAGCTGCAGACAGTCTCCGGCCAGTGTCCAGGGGAGGAAGATGAGGGTGACGATGGGGAAGGGCCTGGCGGCCTGGAGAGTGGCTGTCTCCAAATCATCCCGGGCGAAGGAGCCCCAGCCCCACCTCCCCCACCCCCGCCACCCCCGCCAGCCGAGCTGACCAACGGGCTGGTGGCACTGCCCAGCCGGCTGCGCAGGATGAACGGCAACAGCTACATGCTCCTGAGGCAGAACAACAACGGGGGGCCCACAGGGCCTTGTTCCTTCGCCGAGGAGCTCAGCCGCATTCTGGAGAAGAGGAAGCACACACAGCTCGTAGAGCACCTGGATGAGAGCTCGGTCTGAGCTCAGCGCCCCAGGACAGATGCTCTCCCCACCAGCCTGTCTGCCCAGGCTGGGCTGCTGCCTTCCAACACGGCCCTGCCCTCACCGCACTCTGTCCCCCCCCCCTCCAGACTCCTCTAACTTTCGATGTCCCTATAGGGCTGGCCAGAGCCAGGCCCAGCCAAAGTCCCCTCAGCCTCAGACCCATCTGTGAGCAGCCCAGGCCAACTGGTTCTCCTCAGAGGTAGGTGCTCCCTCAGGTTCTTCAGCCCCACGTCCTCTTCCTTTAACCTGAGCACGTGGGAGGAGAGACCCCCCCCCCATTCCTCTGCTCAAATCCTTCCTCTTTCTCTCAGGCAGGGCTTGCAGGTCCAGATGGCCTCAATGTCACCATCCTCTGCATGGCCCCTGTGCTGGATGGTCCTGACACCAGACAAGACCTCTGTAGCCAAAAGAGCCACTTGAGCCCTTCGTACATTCACATGGAAGAATGTCTACCAGCTGGGCTGCAGGCCCCCACCCCACTCCCACCTTCTGGTGCATTTACTTCATCCCTTTTTCTGGGCTTTGGGTTCCCTCCCAATTGCCACATCCCATCCTATCGAGTCCTCTTCCCTAGTCCCGGCCCCCTATGGTGACCTCTGTCAAGAACTTGGGAACAGGCCAGCGCTGGGAGGTAAGACTGCATCATTCTCCTCCCTTAATGTGCAGCCCTTGTGCCTCAGCCCTCCCCCTTTCCCCCCATGCCCTTAGTCACTCTCAAGAGCGACAGAGGCAGAGTTCTAGGCATGTCCCTCACATACACATGCTGACATTTCCACTTACATGCACCTTCTGAGCCTCCTCTTGCTGCCTCAGGCCTGTCATCAGGTTTGGTCCCTGGACATTTCAAAGAGAGAGCCCTCTCTGGTGTAGCTGTCCTGGCAGACACTTCCCTAGGACGAGCAGCCACACTGCACTCAATGAGCCAGCCTCCCTTTTGGGGACCGAGCATTTGCGATCCCTAGATCAGAGCAGGAGGAAGCAAGATCTGATAACTCACCTGGCACATGATGCCTGTTCCTGGAACTATGCAAAGGGCAGAGGCTGGGAGTTTGGATGCTTGGCTCCACCCCTGTCCTACCTCACCGGGGCACTTTTAGGGTCCAGTGGCCTCTTTAGTCTCCAGGTCCAAACGGGACAATCAAATCCTGAGCTCCCCCATCCCCTAGGGTGAGGATGACTGTTATTTTTGTAGCCGAGAACGTGGAATCCCACGGATTTTTACTGCCCTTCACCCATCCTCTCCCACCTCTCCCCCTACTATGAATGTATTTATTGTGAGATGGTTATACTCTTTAGGAATGTCCCCGATTCCCCCCTCCCCCCAGGTGGGTGGAATGGGCATGTGACAGTGGGGAGCCTGGACTCTGCTCCTCCACCCCCTGTTGGTTAATAAATACCCTCTTTTCCCCACTACTATGAGTAGTCTGCTTGGTCTCAACTGCCTTCCTCTGGTCACCAGGGGACAGGCTTCTGAGTCTATGGAGAAGTGCAGCAGGGTTAGGTCTGCTCCCCACAAAACCATCTGCAGAGGAAATGGGGTCCTCAGCTTCCATCTTGGCTGCCCTTTGTTAAGGCTCTCACTAGTAATTGACCATGGCATGGTAGAGTAATTCAAGAATTCATATAAAGGTTTCTAAGGTTTTTACCTTCTACCTCTTATCCTCACCATCTTCCCCACTTTTTAGCTAAACACCTACAAGATGCTCCCCATTTACCAGTGACCCTGAGAATCACTCTCTCCAAGGGTCAGGCCTAGATTAATTACATGGCCTTTGATATTAAGCATCCCGAAAAGTTATTATATGCCCCAATTCTGGTTTTATGATAATGAAAGTGGGGTTGTGCTTAAAATATACACTTAAAATATGTTGAAGACAAGTGTGACTGTGGGCAGGTTTATTAATCTCAGGTTTGTAATGGATACACAGTCATACAGCCTAGCCCAGAGCCAGGTTCACAGCAGAGAAGGTGCTAGCTCTCTCTAGCTCAGTGGATGCAGAAATAGGACATCAGAGATTCTTCAGAAGCCAGCCTTGACATCCCTCACTGTGACTTGAGATCACGATTATCAATTTGGATTTCCAAAAGGAGGGCCCAGGAAGAGCCTAGAAGACTCCCAGGTTTCCGAAATGTCAACTGGATAATTAAGAGACACAAAGTCACTGCCCCTCCGTGGGCACCAAAAAGAAAACAGGTAGCTCTTGGTCCCTAGCAGAAGTTTTGGCATCAACTTTCTCTTTCGTGGGCTCCATCTGTCTGTCTGGGCTGCAACCCCCTGAACCAAACGAGGAGGAACCAACCACCTTCACTGAGACCGGAGTTGGGGCAACTCTTCACTGCGCTTGCACCTGGGCCGGGGCAGGATCCTGGGCCTCTCGGGGGCGCAGCCCGCCCTGCGTCGTGGGCTTGTTGGTGAAGGGGTGCCACTGGCCCTGGATGCTGGGGTTGTCCGTGTGGAAGGGCTTGCGGATGCGGATTATGTCCAAGCCCGACTGGCTCGCTAGCTTCCTCACCAGCGCCGTGATCTCCTCCACCGACTTGGCGTTGAGGCTCTCCTCGCGCACGGCCCCGTTCACTGGCAGAAGGGAGGCGGGGCGAGAGGCGGCGGGCCGCTCAGAGCTCGGACGAGGGGAGGGAGACCGGCCCGCCCGCTCCGCCCCGCTCCCCCGCAGGCCGCCCCCAGCCCCCGCGCGGCCCCACTCACGGTATTCGGCCACGACTCTGGGCACATGACACGGCCGCGCGTTCACGTAGATGACGACCCCCGGGTTCTGTCGGGCGAAGTCGGCCACCTCCTGTTCTACGAACTCCCTGAGAAAACCGGAAAGAGGGAGCACGGTGACCCCTGACCCGGGCGGCCTCGGCCGGGAGTCGCCCCCCCCCCTCCCCGCGTCCCTCGCTCCCCGCGTCCCTCGCAGGCTCACCGGGCGCCGCGGGACGACGGCGCGTCGCGGCTGAGGCTGAAGCTCAGGCGCTGCAGCTGCTGCACGTAGCGGCCCAGCCCGTTGTGCAGCACGCTGGTCAGGAAGCGGCTCGGGGTCCCGCGCGCCGTCATGCCTGCTGCGCGCGCCCGCGCCGCCCGCCGGGCCCCGACTGGAGGAGAGGGGGCGGGGCTAACCTGGGCTTCCGGTTCCGGGGGCGCGAGCTCCCGGGGAGTTTTGATTCCGAGGTCCTGGCGGGTGGCGCGTGCGAGTGACCCACGTTGCGAGCGAAAGTCATGGGCCGAGCGTGCTAACCCGGCGCCCGGGGTCGGTGCGCGGAGGCCCCCGCGGGTGAACCGGAGGGAGGACACGCGTGGGGGGCGGAGAGGGGCTCGGCGGCGCCCTGGTCGCATTGTTCCCTCCGAGGGAAGGAGCCGCGGAGAGAGCCACTACTTGGGGATCCAGAGCTGAGGGGCCTCCGAAAGGACGCAGAGGGCTGTGCACACGAGGGCGACGCAGAGACCCTGTGGAGGGCAGTAGTGGCGGAGACCAGATCTGGAGAAACCACAGTCGGTGAGGGGCTGCGATGGGAGAAGCTGTAAAGGAGCCAGACAGGGACCGAGACGGGAAAGGATCGTGCAGGTGGCCTTGGGTAGAAGCAGCAATGTAGAGGGGCCCAAGAGCATTCAGAGAGGTGTTTATGAGGGAGAAGTGTGAAGAAACAGAGAAGCCACCCAGAGGGAGCCCTAAGGGTCTGATGACTGAAGGTACCTGTGCCAGGCACCTCAGGCATTTTTGAAGTAGGGGCTTCCTCCGTTTGACTAGGAATGTGGGTCCTTCTCCGAAGTGTGTCCCCCCTCCGGCTCCTGCTGTCCCTGCGCGGGAAGTGGACGGGCTGGAGGGGCCTGCCTCGGAGCTTGGTCCCTGGCCCTCCTCGAAGGCGGTACAGGAAGGAGGCTCTGCCAGCCCCGGAGGCGCCCGTGTTGCCTGTGACTGCAACTGAAATCCGCCAGTATTTGCGGGCGCATGGGATCCCCTTCCAGGACGGCCACAGCTGCCTGCGGGCGCCCAGCCCCTTTCTGGGAGCCGCGCAGCTCAAGGAGCAGGCCGGCGCCACCACCTCCTTCAGCCTCTTCATTAACAAGACCACCGGCCGCTTCCTCTGCATGACCAGCCTCGCGGAGGGGAGCTGGGAAGACTTCCAGGCCAGCGTGGAAGGGCGTGGGGACGGAGACAGAGAGGGAATCCTGCTCGGGGAAGGCCCGGGAGCGGAGGACAGTGAGGAGATCCGGAGGATCTGGGACCGAGCGATACCTCTCTGGGAACTGCCTGACGCGGAGGAGGCGAAGCTGGCTCGGGTGATGTTTGGCCTTACCCAAGTGACAGACGACACCCTCAAGCGTTTCAGTGTGCGGTATCTGCGGCCCGCCCGAAGCCTTGTCTTCCCTTGGTTCTCCCCTGGCGGGTTGGGATTGCGAGGCCTAAAGCTTCTGGGGGCGGAAGGCCAAGGGGATGGGGTGCGCTATGTGGAGACCACCATCCCTAGGCCGGGTGCCTACCACAATCTGTTTGGATTGCCGCTGATGGGTCGTCGAGATGTGGAGGTGGTACTGACGAGTCGTGAGCTGGACTGCCTGGCCTTGAACCAATCCACAGGGCTGCCCACCCTGGCCCTTCCCCGGGGAACAGCCTGCTTGCCCCCCGCCTTACTCCCTTACCTCGAACAGTTCCGACGGATCGTGCTCTGGCTTGGGGATGACCTTCGGTCCTGGGAAGCTGCCAAGTTGTTTGCCCGAAAACTGAACCCCAAGCGGTGCTCCTTGGTGCGGCCTGGGGACCAGCATCCCCGTCCCCTGGAGGCCCTAAACCGAGGCTTAAATCTTTCTCGGATTCTGCGTGCTGCCCTGCCCGCTTGGCACAAGTCTATTGTGTCTTTCCGGCAACTCCGGGAGGAGGTGCTGGGAGAGCTGTCCAACGTGGAGCAGGTAGCTGGCGTTCGCTGGAGCCGCTTCCCAGACCTCAATCGTCTCTTGAAGGGACATCGGAAGGGCGAGCTGACAGTCTTTACAGGTTACCCTTTGGGAAGTCATTGCTTGGGTGGTGGCAGGGGGTCAGGTGACATGTGGGTTTGGACTGCTGTAAATGTTGAGGCTTTTCCTCCCAACTTTTTTTTTTTTTTTAATATATTGATTTTTTTACAGAGAGAGAGGGATAGAGAGTTAGAAACATCAATGAGAAAGAAACATCGGCCAGCTGCCTCTTGCACACTCCCTACTGGGGATGTGCCCACAACCAAGGTACATGCCCTTGACCGGAATCGAACCCGAAACCTTTCAGTCCACAGGCCGACGCTCTATCCACTGAGCCAAACCTGTTTCGGCTTTTCCTCCCAACTTTGAGGCCCTACTCCATGTCTTGGTTTCAAGGGTGGGACTTCTCTCCCTCACCCAGGTCTTTGTTCACCCCCCCTGCAGGGCCCACAGGCAGTGGAAAGACAACATTCATCAGTGAGTATGCCCTGGATTTATGCACCCAGGGAGTGAACACGCTATGGGGTAGCTTTGAGATCAGCAACGTGAGATTAGCTCGGATCATGCTAACACAGTTCGCTCTGGGGCGGCTGGAAGAGCAACTGGACAAATACGATGAGTGGGCCGACCGCTTTGAGGACCTGCCCCTCTATTTTATGACTTTCCATGGGCAACAGAGCATCAGGTAAGATTCCCAGGCCTGGGGTTTGCAAAGAATGGGAGGGCAGGAGAACAGACCTTGGGGTTTTCAGAATGCTGGCTCTCTGCCTGGGTTGGATGGGAGACTACTTGTAATTGACTCTTGAATTCATTGCCTCTTCTTCTCCCCAGGACTGTCATAGACACAATGCAGCATGCAGTCTATGTCTATGACATCTGTCATGTAGTCATCGACAATCTGCAGTTCATGATGGGTCACGAGCAGCTGTCCACAGACAGGTGACATCCTTTTGTCTATCTGGAACCCACTTGAACACACATGTCTTCTTAGGCAGCTGGCCCCTAGGCACACACACTGTCCTCTCTTGTTTTCTGACACGTGTGCAGACAGGGACCTACGTGTGAGTGTGTGGGTAAAGAAAAGTGGAGTGGTGTTGTGGTGCTTTGTGGAGATATGAATGAATCTAGAGTATGTGTATATTCTTGTCCTGTCGATATCTGATAACCTCTTTGCTTTGTTCGGCTGGGTGCAGGATTGCAGCTCAAGACTACATCGTTGGGGCTTTTCGGAAGTTTGCGACAGACAGCTGCTGCCATGTGACACTGGTCATTCATCCCCGGAAGGAGGATGATGATAAGGAACTGCAGACAGCATCCATTTTTGGTTCAGCCAAAGTAAGTGACCTTTAGAGGAGCCTAAGTTTTGGAAAGGAGAGGCGGCACATGTGACCAGGCATAGTCCTCAGTCAGCCTTAAATCATCTGGACTTCATCCGGAAGAGGCAGCTGGGGCCATGACACGAGGAATTTAAAGGCGAATAATTGTTGGTCCTTTGCCCTTCTTACTCCAGAAGCTCACATCATCTAGTAGGGAAAACAGTGAGACAGTGATTACAACTCAGTGTGACAAAAGCTATGATAGGTAGTACAGGTTCTTGGGGAACAAAGAGAAAAGACATCTGAGTCATCCAGGGGTATCTGGGGAGACTTCCTTGAGGAGGTGTCAGGAAAGGTTGGGTTGACTTTTGGCCAATAGTAGGTGTTTAATAACTAAAAGGGAGGGCCTTCTGGGCAGCAGGACCAGCCCAATCCTGGAGCTTCCGAGGTACACTGAATGCCTATTACATGCCAGGCCTGGGCTGGGCACAGGGAATACAGGATGCGGAGCACAGACCATGTGCTACGATGAAACAAACGTGGAGCTGGGGAAGAAAAGAACACGGACGTGGAAAGATGGTGGTGCCTTCTTTATTTATGGGGATCAAGAATGGTCATTTAGACTAAGACCTCAATGATAAGAAACGGGTTAAGTGGGGTAATGGGCTGTGCAGGAGAAGTGTTACAAGCAGAGGGAACAGCAGAGCAGGTACAAAATCTGGAGATGGTAGCAAGATTGCTAAGGAACTGAAAAACTCAAGTGGCCCCAGTGTCATGGTCAATAGTTCAAAAAGCTTGGATGAAAAGGGAAAGTATTTTTTCCTTTCCCCGTTCTTGCCACTTCTTCCTACACGCTCAGCCTTCCTTTCTGCTTCCCTCCTATGTCTTCTCACTGCTCCTTCTTCCTCTGCTCCCTGTCCCTCAGGCAAGCCAGGAAGCGGACAATGTCCTGATCCTGCAGGACAGGAAGCTGGTAACGGGGCCGGGGAAACGATACCTGCAGGTGTCCAAGAACCGTTTTGATGGAGACGTAGGCGTCTTCCCGCTTGAGTTCAACAAGAGCTCTCTCACCTTCTCCATACCACCAAAGAGCAAGGCCCGGCTCAAGAAGATCAAGGATGACAATGGCCTGGCAGCCAAAAAGTCCTCTTCTGGTAAAAAGGGGGCTGTCCCCCAGAACTCTGAAACTTGCTCTGATGAGGCCCCCAATCAGCCAGACCCTTCCAAACTTTCAAGGTGAAGGAGGTACAGAGTAGGACACTGGAATGAGCCTGACAGGACAGGCTGGGGCATAGCCTTTTTCTTGGCCCTCTGCTAGAACTACCTCTGTCCTGTGGTCCTAAACTATGGGCCCTTCTCAGTGTGAGGGGCCTTGCCTAGGGCAGGGTCCCTTGGTGAGAATTCAGTTTAGCAGATATTTGAGAAACTATTGTATGCCAAGCTTTGTTCTAGATGCTGGGAATACAGCACTGAAGACAGATGAAGTCCCTCCTTCCATTGAAAATGCAGTCTGGTGAGAGGACAAGATAAGTTAATGGAGAAATAAACACAAAACATAATTTCAGGTAGTGAAAAATGCGATCTGAAAAATAGTACTGCGATAGTGCTTACAAGCTAGTTTAGATGAAGGTCTGAAAAGGTGTCTGAACAGAAGACATTTGAGCTGGGGCCTAAAGAACTTGTATTGAGCCATATGCACATCTGAAGAAAGAGGGATCCAGGTAGAAGGAAAAGTAAATATAGAGGCCCCTCGGTGGGAATGAGCAAGTTGAGTTCAAAGTAGTAAAGTCAGGAACCCTGATCCTGAAGGAGACGTTTTGCCAAAATTCCAGCCTAGGCTCTCAGAGCCAAAGGGAGACATGGTGGGTACCAAGCTCCTCTGCTCCCCCTCTGGAGCTGCTGTGTGATGGCACTATCACTGGATCCCCGGTCCTTGGCTCTGTCACATCAGGGCCCTGCCATGAAAGTGGAAGCTTGGCCAGAGAGCCATGGAAGGAAGTTTGGCCAGGGCCTGCCTCCTGGACACTGAATGTATGGAATGCTGCCTCTGGCCACTTGAGTGGATGCAGGCATAACTTTTTGTAGAGCCTTTCCCAGTTTTACTGGAAAAAAAATTTTTTTCTCATAGCCTTTGTTTCTGTACTTCTTATTTGTCCACTAGGTGTCTCCCCAGTCAACTGGGTTTTCTCACTTTGAATTGGGAGTGATGGGTCACCTCCTGTCTGAGCTGTGTGCTCCCAAGGAAGCAAAAGCATTAAAGGGCCTTCACACACACACTCCTTCCCACCTCTTCTTGGCCTGGGGAAGACAGGATGGTGCCTCTTTATCCCTGTTTCCCCTGAGGGTCTTTATAACCTCTCAGAGGCGTAGGTCACCAGAACATATGCCTAGGCTCTGCCTGATCTGCTGTCTCTGCTATGAGCCACTCACTGACCTCTCAATGTGGACTCAGGCTCAACATACTCTTATCTGGCCCCCGTCCATTTTCACCCTCCTGTACCTTAGCGTTTCTCTTATGTTGGAGTGGGTTGGAACACATAGGGCTCTTGTTTGAAAAAGCAGAAACGTCGCCCTTCTCTCACCCCAGTCCCCACACACATACATTTCTAATTCTAGAAGTTCGAGGAGAGATAGAGCATTCCTCATTTTTAAAAAATATATATTCATTGATTTTTTTACAGAGAGGAAGGGAGAGAGAGTTAGAAACATTGATGAGAGAGAAACATCAATCAGCTGCCTCCTGCACACCTCCTACTGGGGATGTGCCCGCAACCAAGGTACATGCCCTTGACCCGAGTCGAACCTGGGACCCTTGAGTCTGCAAGCCGACGCTCTATCAACTGAGCCAAATCGGTTAGGGCGGATTCCTCATTTTTAACAAGGAGTTGGGAAAATATGAGGAACCTGTCAGAAATATTCCTAAATGATGACACCTGCATCTCATTTCCTCTGATATCCTAAAGTCCCAGTTTCCCTTTAGATTTGCCAGCAAGAGTGAGAATGCAAGACGTCCTGAAGGTTCTGGGGAGAAAGAAAGGTTGGGAGATTGATTCGCTCTCTGAAGCAGGGCTGCCTTACCAAGGTCTCCTGTCAACCTAAGAAGGGGCTTCTGGAACCCTGTAGAAGGGTTTGGGATCTCTGGTCTTTTATGTGTGGGAACTATGGCTACAATTGTCTCCTGAAACAGACAGAGCAAAGCTGTTTTCTGTGGGGGAAGAACCAGGGGGGAGGGAGGAGAGAGCTTCTCCGGGGCCTCCCTGCTTGGGGGTCTCTCCCAGACTGGCTGGAGCCAGGCCTCCTAATCCTGCGTAATCATTCCCAGCCGCTGGCTGGTCTAGGCCTCATCCGAGGTCTCTAACTGAATGTCAGCCGTGCCTTCCAGATGTACACCACCAGGTCAGTCCTGCCTACAAGGACATGGACTCCACATTCCGTCTCCCTAGAATGCCTGGCGTGTTCTCAGGAAATCCTCTAGGGGTTTCCATTAAGGGGACTTTGTGAGATCTCTGTTTGTCTTGCCCCATTCTTCTAGCAGACACCCCCACATAGCACAAACCAGAATGATGGGTAGGGAGGGGAAGCTAATGCTCCCCTAACCCCACACTCGATACAAACACATTGCGTTTCACAACTGTCAGACTCTTCACATCTCGGTGAGCCCGCCCACAATGTGTTCAGGAGTGCTTGGAGCCTAGAAAGCAGTGGGAGGGACTCCTGGGAGCCAGTGTCCCTGTACCAGCCCACGTGGACTGAGGCAAAGTGCCCTGCCCCCATCCAACTGGAGGTTAAGCATCTCCCTGAGAGCTCCCGAAGGGCCGGCCAAGCAGGGCCAGGGGATCTGCGGCCCTTTTTTCAGCTTCACACTCAGACTTGCTGTGAGGGGGCCGTTTCGGTCCTCCGGTAGCTGCTTTGCTGTGGATGTGTTTGAGAAGGGACTAAACGCACTGGGTTCTTGCTGTCTGAGTATGAAGCCCATGACTATGGCCCAGATACCTGTAGACATCCCAGCCTGCCTTCCCACAGGCTGCCTCAGGTGCCACGGAGGGAGGGAGCCCTGGGTGCCTCCTGAAATACAGGCCAATTTCCTGTTTGTGCCTGTGGGTGGAACTTTATGAGCTCAAGGGAAGCCAGGCTGTGTTCTGCGAGGAACCAGAACCGGCGGCAGGCGCGCTCCCCTGGGCAGACACCTACACCAAGGGCGAACTAGGTGCTGGTTCTGCTTAGGCAGTCCCAACCCAAGCCGTGGGGGGGGGGGGGGGGGGAGAGAAGAGGCGGGTCTGTCTTGGTGTAACCCGAGCCTTCTTTGTCTGCTTCCCAGGGGTTTTCCCTGTGTCTGGGGAGTGGGCCGAGCATGGACCAGGTTTGACAGAGCAGGGATTGGCGGCAGGAAAGCCCTAGAGCCAGCTTGGTTAGGACAGCCAAGGAGGTAGCTTAGCTCTCACGCACGTCCTAGGCGCCCCTTCCCGGGGTCTAAAGCTAAAACCCAGTACGTTGTGAAGCCAGAGGGCAGCCTCGGGCCACCTCGAGCTACCGCTGGGCTGGGTTCTGGGTCGGCTGTGGAGGGGGTGCCGGGCAGACCACTCCCTTCCTTGGGCCGGGGGCGCGGCTTCAGCGGCCCCGCCCCGCTCCACCAGGCCGGACCTGGCGGGCGCCCGGAGCCCGGGGCGGGCTGGAGAGCCGGCGAGTCTGCAGCGAGGAGGTGCCCGCGCTGGGGCAGGAGCCGGGCAGGAGCTGGAGCGGCGACGCAGGTGGCATCGGGTGAGTGGCGGGGCCGCGAGGGTGTCGGAGCTCGCGCCTCCCACACATTCCGGCTCCAGAGTAAACTTTCCCGTCCGGCGAAGCTGGGGGTTGGGACGAGGAGGAGGAGGGGGGTTCCCCAAGCCGGGACGCAGGCGAAGCGTCTGAACAGGAAACCGGCACGGAAACGGACACGCCGGGCCCACACACGCGTGCACTCAGACCCGTGCACGCACTCGGGACACGCGAGCACACGTGCCCTCGGGAGAGGACCGCCCAGCGGGTAGCTCCTGCAGTTCTTGCAGCCGCGTCACCGGCGCGCACGGACCCCGGGGACGGGGACCTCTGTGGTCGCGGAATTGACCATTGCCGGGGGTGGGACACCTCACACGGCTCCTGCCTCCCCGGGGCCTGCAGGTGGAGACTGAGACGTAAACAGGCACCAGCACGTGACCGCTTTACGGACGGACCCGTGGGCTGTGCCTCCCCCACCCCGGCCACGGCCCGACGTCCCTCCCCAGCCCGGGGCGAGTTTTCCGGGTCCCTTGCAGGGGGGTGGGGGAACCTGTATTCCATTCTCCGCCTAGAGAGGTGACAAACCCTCCTCCAGAAACGGGAGCACTGTGCCCCCTGGAGGCGGGGCAGCGCAGGAGAGCAGGACACGGGCTGGGGTGGGGTTACCTGGGCTCCTGCCTTCCTTCTCGCCAACACATCCATGGTGCACTCAGCCCGGAAGGCATGGAGGCCGGGCACTGCGGATGGCTGAGGACAGCAACCTACCCCCCCTCCCCCTTTTCCCTGTCCTATACCTCCAGCCTGGGTAGCAGAGCTGGGAGCTCCTCCCTCCAAGGTAGGAGCAGAAACCCCCCTCTCCCAAAGCATGCAGGAGCATCATCCTCCCTTCAGTACTGGAGGGGGCCTATACCCCTCATGAGGGTCGAGGGAGGACGAGCCCTCCGCCCCCATCAGGGAGGGGGCAGGGGCCACCAGCCTCTCTCCTTGCCCCACCCCCCACCCCTACGCACACGCCGAGCCCAGCTGCGGCTGGAGCTCCTGGGCCTGCTGCCAGAAAGGGGAGGAGGCTCCCGGTGCCCCAGGAGGCTGGGATCTGGGCAAGACCGGAGGAGGGGGTCTCCGCTGGAGAGGGGGGCTCCCGTCTGTTCTTGGGAGGCTGAGGATCTGGGGTGAGCCTAAGTGAGGATGGCTGGGCTATGTTTCCCTTTCCAGGGAAAAAGAAAGAAAAACAACCCTTTCCATAGAGCTAAAAATAGAGCTGAGCCTCGGCCAGGTCTGTGGCCTGGAAGGGGAGGGTGGGGGCAAATGCTCCTTCCTGGGGCAGAGGAGCGCTGGCAGGCCTGGCCCTGGGGGGGGGGGGGCAGGAGGAGGCTGTCCTTGCCCAGGGATGCTGGCATCAGCTGACCTGCCAGGTCACAGAGACCCCTACAGGAAAGTATGTGTGGTAGGATGCTTGAGAAACGTGTGTACGTGTAAGAAGTTGTGATTGTGGACAAGGCGGTCTGCGTGTGGAAGGTGCTCAGGAGAGGAAGAGTGTTTGGGATTGGGACTGGGTGCAAGGACTGCGAGCTGTGAAAGCCTGTGCACAAGCAGCTGTGTGACTCCGACCGTGTCTCTGTGTGAGTGGGCCCGAAAGATAAGGGAACGTCGGAAGGTGGCACGAGGAGATGAGTGGACCCTGATCTGCGGCCGTGTGGACCTGAAGGTGGGAAAGGTGGTGTTCTTTGCCAGAGGATGAGCGTATCGGTGACCCCGACAAGACGGTGGAATGTTGTGAGGCTGGTGTGGGGTTTGGTCCAGTAACCATCCGGCTGATTGTTGAAGGGCCTGGGGCTACCTCTCCGAGCAATGACCGATGGCTCTGTGGGAAGGCTGAAGAGCACGGAGCCGCCCCTGGGGCAGGCCTGGGCTCGGGGAGGGGAGGGTAGGGGCCACGCCGAGGTCCGGAGGGCGGGCAGGATGACTGGGTGTGCTTTCCGAACCTGCCGCCAGGTGGCGCCGCCCCCACAAAGCCAAGTGTGCCTCCTCCTGGCCGCGGGGGTGGGGCGGGCGCCGGCCGAGCCTTGGCCCACGGCTGGGCTGGCGCTGGGGTGCGGGGCCGGGCCGCTGCAGAGAGTGGGCGGCAGCTGACCCTCAGCCTCCCCCTCTGGACTCCGAAGTCGGGGTGTGTCTTGGGGGGGGGGGGGAGAGAACCCTGGGGAACGCTTTAACTGGAGGAGCGGAGGGGGCAGGGCGGCCGCCGGGCCCTTTGTGCTGGAACAATGACCAGCTGCCGCGGGCCCCGCGCTCGGTCGGGGTTGAGCTGGAGAGTGACCCGCCGCCGCCGCCGCCGAGTCCTAAGCCGACCGAACCCCCAGACACACCGCCACCGGCTGGGGGGAGAGGAGAGGGGGACGGGGTTGCAGCCCCCGCGTGCGCCCGGACACGCGTGACGCGCAGGGTTAGCGGAGGCCGCGCCCCGGGGGCGGGGACGCCCCTGGGACCCACCCCCGCGCCGCGCCGCGCCGCCCCCTCCGGCCGGGCGGGCGGGGGCTGCCCCGCAGGGGGCGCCGCGGAGGCGGGGCGGGGCGGGGCGGGCCGGCGGCCGCGAGTGGCCGCGCGCGGGCTGGAGCCGGGCGGCTGCCGGAGGCGCGGGGGGCGGCCCGGGGCTGAGCATGGAGCGGAGCGGCGGAGGTGAGGGGGCCGCGGCGGGGAGGCGATCTGGGGGCGCCCCCAACTTCTGCCGGCGGGAAGGGGGCATTCCGCCGCGGCCCCACTTTATGGAAGCGGAGGCGGCGGGGGGGGGGGGGGGGAGGTCCCGGCTGGAACGGGGGCTCCCGGCTTCCTGTTGCAGAATGGGAACTCGTGATCCCAAACGCCTTGTTCCCACTCGACTGCTCCTTGGGGTTGGGTGAGGGGGAGACTTTCCCCAACTCCTCCGCCCCCGGCACGGGTCCCTGGGCCTCCGGACCTTGGCCAGACCGCGCTGGGGCCGCGGCTGAGCGCTGCCCTCTGCTCCCCCGGCCCGCCGAGGGGGGCTGCTGGGCCGGAGGGGTCAGCCCAGGGGTGCCGGGGAGAGTGGGGGTTCCCATTCCCACCGCCAGAGACGCCTTTCTCAAAATGGAGCCTCGACTTGCCCCTCCTTCTCTCCCAGGCTCCGGGAGAGAGCGGGAGCCTGGCTGCTGGGCCTGGCCTTCCCGGCGCCTGGCTCCGGCTCCCGCTCCGTGGGCGTCGGGTTCGCAGGGCCCAACTTTCTCTCTGCCGGATCTCGGAGCCCCTGGCCTCACCGAGTCTGTCTGTCTGACTCCTTGTCTACCTGACACCCCGGGGCCTCGGAGTCTTTGTCTCTGGGCTTTTGGGTCCCTGTCTCTGAGTCTCCTCCCTGAGGTTCTCACTTTCTCAGGGCTCACTGAGGTGGGGAGGTGCAGACAGAGGTGCCAGCCTCTGCTGCCCCCTAAGAAGCCCCTGCCCCCCTGCTTTCTCTTCTGGAGCCGCCTGGGAGAGGGCAGAGGAGGGGGTGTTCCATTCACTTTGCTCAGCGCTGGCACTTGTGCGGTAGACAGTGCTCACCACTCTCCCCTCCCCCCAGCTCCTCCTGCCTCGGTCTGGACATCTTCCAGGGTCCCAGGGTCTCTGACTTGAGCAAGGAGGTGGGGGTGGACTTAATGGAACACAAGCAAGCGAGAAGGAGAGCAGATCAGGCAAAGGAGTCAGAGAATGTCTCTCCTCCCCCACATTCCAATGAGTGACAAAAACCACGCTCCCACTCACTCAGTTGGCCCTGCCAGCATGCCACCCAGGCTCCCACCCTCTCTCTCACGTGCTCCTGTACACACACACACACACACACATACACACACTCCTTTGTACACACATATATACACTCCCTTTCCTGTTAACACACTTGTGTAAAGTAATGTGAGTTTACATATAAACTCAGGTATATGTGAGTGGACATCTGTCCACACGTATTCTCTCCTGTAGTCACACTCATACGCCATAAACTCACTGTGTATGCATTTGGAACTTTCACATACTTTGTAAGAGTGACCCCCCCTAGTCACACACATACTTACTCTTGTCAAATGCACCCGGGTGAATTCACACGTGTACTCTGTGAATGTATGACTGTATCTACCCACCCATATCGAATCACATACCCCCATTCATGATGTTCTCGCACACCTTTTCATGTACACGGTGCTCATTTTCAGGCTGTGCGTCCAGACCCCCCCCACACACACACACACACAAAAGCACACGCTCCTGCTCCTACGCAGTTAGTTCTCTGTCCGCCTCTTGGCCCCCCCGCCCCCCTCGTTCTGCGTGATGACTTCAGCAGATGCCGGAGTCCTGGTCTTCGTCCTCGCCTCAGGATGGAGGGAGTTCCGGGCGGAGACTCCCTGTCCCCTTCCAGGAAGGAGGAGGGCCTGGGGGGTGGAGCCCTCTTCCCAGGGCCCCAGGGAAGTGAGATCTTGAAGCAGCTGCCAGAGGTGATGGTGGGGCATCCGCCCTCACCCCTTTGGGATCGCACTGAGGACACCTAAAGCTGGGGGTTTCGTAGAAGCTGGCAGCAGGCCCGTGTGGAGTTCTTCAGGCCCAACTGATGGGGTATGGTGAGGCTAGAAGTTGTCATGGCAACAAGCATGCACCTGCGTGGAGTCAGGAGATCCCAGAGGGCACCGTTGGGCGCCCTGAGAGCTCCGAGTTTCTTGTTTGGCCAGCTTCGCCCTTGCCGCCTCTGTGTCTGGGAGAAACTGAGGCCCAGCTGGGGAGGCTGGGCACGGCCTGGCCTTGGCTCTTTGTTCCCTAATTACCATCTGGGCTGCTGACTTCATCCCTGAGGTTGCTTCTGGCCAGACTGCCCTCTAAGGAGGCCACCTGTCCCAGGGGACTGGATCCGCCCAGCAGCCTTCCGCACTTGCGTCCTGGCCTCTGGGGGGGATGCTGGGCCCTGCAGAACCACTGGCCTTCCCCCGTCCCCTCATCATCCCTGCTCCGAAGACTCGGCCCTCTGCCCTGCTCAGAGCCACGCCGGGCAGTGGTCTGGGGTACAGGGAGAACCGAGGTTCATGCCAGCGCTCGGAGGGGGAGCCTTGGGGGGCACCAAGTAGCTAACATTGTTGATATCGGGGGGCTGTTCGACCTGAGATGAGGGGCCAGGAGGGGGACTGGGGACCTTGCACAGGGAGGGGCTCAAGGTGGAGGGACTCTGACCCCGCTGCCCTGCTTGCAGGTTCCCCCGGAGGCCCCCGGCCAGGCCAGAGGTGCTGCCGCCATGGCCATCGTGCAGACGCTGCCGGTGCCGCTGGACCCCGCTCCTGAGGCCACCACGACCCCGCACGCCCCGGCCATGGGCAGCGTGAGCAGCCTCATCTCAGGCCGGCCCTGCCCCGGGGGGCCAGCGCCCTCCCGCCACCACGGCCCCCCCGGGCCCACCTTCTTCCGCCAGCAGGACGGGCTGCTGCGGGGCGGCTACGAGGCTCAGGAGCCCCTGTGCCCGGCCGTGCCCCCCAGGAAGGCCGTTCCCGGCACCACCTTCACCTACATCAACGAGGACTTCCGGACGGAGTCCCCGTCCACCCCCAGCAGCGACACCGAGGACGCCCGGGAGCAGCGGGCACGCAACGCCCACCTCCGCGGCCCCCCACCCAAGCTCATTCCCGTCTCCGGGAAGCTGGAGAAGGTGAGGGCCAGCCTTCCTTCGGGGCCCGGGGGGAATCGGGAGCCCCCTGGAGGAGCTGGGGGAGTGTGGGGGTCTGGGTAAGCATGTGGGCTCCAGACTCACCAGATCTGAGTTCTAATCCCAGCTCGGCCTCGTTCTGGCTCGATTACCTCAGCGAAGTCACTTAACTGTCCTGAGCCTGTTCCCATCTACGTGACACGGAGGCGATCGGTCAGCCCCCATAAGTCTGTTGTGAAAGTTAAATGACATACGTGAAGTGCTTAGCCTCGTACCTGGCATCTACTGTGCACTCGATAAATGTTCGCTATTTGAAACGGCTGCTGTCATACGACGGCCGTGTGATTGGCTTCGAGCAAACCTGGAACTGTGCTCAGCCTCCATGTTCTCACCCGTAATATGCGGATAGTGATCATGTGTTATCCGTGTGGCTTCTGAACTGACGAGAGATGAGCCTTTTAAGTTACTTGGCATAAAGCTGGCGCGCGGGAGGCTCTCAGTGGCAGCCGTTACTAACGTATGGGGATGGGGGACCCCCGGATGGGAAGACAGGGAGCGTGACGAGGGCTTTGAAAGACTGAGTAGCTCATCCCCAGTGTCTCCTGGCACCTCATTTCAGAACATGGAGAAAATCCTGATCCGCCCAACGGCCTTCAAGCCAGTCCTGCCCAAACCTCGAGGGGCGCCGTCTCTCCCCAGCTTCCTGGGTCCTCGGGCCACCGGACTGTCGGGGAGCCAGGGCAGCCTAACACAGCTGTTTGGGGGCGCCGCCTCCTCCTCTTCCTCCTCCGCCTCCTCAGCTGCTGACAAACCCCTGGCACTGAGCGGCTGGGCCAGCGGCTGCCCATCAGGGACGCTGTCGGACTCCGGCCGAAACTCCCTGTCCAGCCTGCCCACGTACAGCACGGGGGGCGCCGAGCCAGCCGCCAGCTCCCCGGGCGGGCACCTGCCCTCCCACGGCCCCGGGCGGGGAGCACTGCCAGGGCCAGCAGCCCGAGGAGCCCCTACCGGGCCCTCCCACTCGGACAGCGGCCGGTCCTCCTCCAGCAAGAGCACAGGCTCCCTGGGAGGCCGCGTGGCCGGAGGCCTCTCGGGCAGCGGCCCCCGGGCCTCCCCGGACAGCAGCTCCTGCGGGGAGCGCTCCCCGCCGCCGCCCCCGCCGCCCCCGCCCCCTTCGGACGAGGCGCTGCACTGCGCCCTGGAGGGGAAGCTCCGAGACCGCGAAGCAGAGCTGCAGCAGCTGCGGGACAGTCTGGAGGAGAGTGAGGTGACCGTGCGCCAGGTGTCGTGCGTGTGACCGTGGGGGTGGCGCGGCAGGACCTCCGGAGTGCTGGGAGCCCGAGGAGCGTTCCCGAGGGTCTCAGGGTGGGGGCCGGCGGCGGGCAGCGGTACCTGTGACCCCATTGCCACCCAGTGACCTGGCTTCACCAGCGTGGTGAGGATTCAAACCCAGCGCTGCCCTTTGCCTGTTAGTACTAAGCCTCCGTTTCCTCAGCTATAAAATGGGGATATATATATATATATATATATATATATATATATATATAAAATATAAAATATAAAATATATTTTTTTATTGATTTTTTACAGAGAGGAAGAGAGAGGGATAGAGAGTTAGAAACATCGATGAGAGAGAAACATCGATCAGCTGCCTCCTGCACACCCCTGGGGATATGCACACAACCAAGGTACATGCCCCTGACTGGAATCGAACCCGGGACCTTTCAGTCCGCAGGCTGGCGCTCTATCCACTGAGCCAAACCGGTTTCGGCCAAATGGGGATAATTTTTATTCTCTCAGAGTTCATGAGTAGGGCAAAGGGTGGGAAGTGTTTAGGAGAATGCCCGGCACTTAGGAAGTGCCATGTAAGTGCTTGCCATTACCGTTGTTTCTGTTGTCCCTGTGGTCCTATTATTGCAGTTGTTGAGTGTCATCCAGCCGCCTAACGCCCCCCCGGAGGCCAGCAGAGCAGTCGGGGATGGGGAGCAGCTCGGGCTCGGAGTCCGGGGGAGCCGCCCGGACCCAGGCCTGCCTCTCGCCCGCAGGTGTACGAGGACCGGCAGCGGCGCTGGCAGCGGGAGCGCGAGGCCCTGCGCGAGGACGGGGCGGCCCAGGCGCAGCGAGCCCAGCGCGCCCAGCAGCTGCTGCAGCTGCAGGTGTTCCAGCTGCAGCAGGAGAAGCGGCAGCTGCAGGACGACTTCGCACAGCTGCTGCAGGAGCGGGAGCAGCTGGAGCGGCGCTGCGCCACCTTCGAGCGGGAGCAGCGGGAGCTGGGGCCCCGGCTCGAGGAGACCAAGTGGGAGGTGGGTCCGACCCGGGGGGAAAGGAAGCGGGGTCCTGCAGGAGCATCCCCTAGAAAGCGGGGCCCGGGAACACCCCCGAGGAGCCGGCCACCCCTAGAGGGCCTCCCCTGCCTCCCCTCTGCGAGACGAAGATCGCCCTCTGACCTCCCGAGCGGGGAGGGAGCCTCCTCATCGGCCTGGTCTGGTGCCCGCAGCCGTGGGCATCCCCACCCACTGCCTCCCAGCCAGTGATCGGAATGGAGCGCTTGCTATGCACCGGGCACTGTTCAAAGCATGTTACATAGACTCTGTGTCCTCCAGTCTTCAGGAACAGTCCCGTGAGGTGGGCCCTGTAAACATCCCTGTTTTAGAGATGCAGACACTGAGGCCCGGCAAGGCAGGAGCCCAAAATTACACCCAGGCTGTGGCGGCAGAGCTGAGATTTGAATCAAGTCAGTCTGACTCCTGTGTGTATGCTTTTAACCAAAGTTTCCCCCACTCTGAAGGGGGAAAATCTGGGTCAGTAGCCACTTTAGCCGCTGACAAACTGTATGGCCTTGAACCTGTCGCTAGGCCTGCCTCGGTATCTTCATCTGTAAAATGGGTACGACGATCAAACCTCCTCTCCAGAACGTCCAGTATGTTGTCAGGGCCTGACCCTCCCCACACCCCCCCTTACCCCCGGGGAGAACCCTCCTCACCATCCTTCCTGCCTCCCACCACCAGGTGTGCCAGAAGTCAGGCGAGATCTCCCTGCTGAAGCAACAACTGAAGGAGTCTCAGGCAGAGCTGGTGCAGAAGGGCAGTGAGCTGGTGGCCCTGCGGGTGGCCCTGCGGGAGGCGCGGGCAGCCCTGCGGGTCAGTGAGGGCTGGGTGCGGGGCCTCCAGGAGGCGGCCCGAGCCCGAGAGCTGGAGCTGGAGGCCTGCTCCCAGGAGCTGCAGCGGCACCGCCAGGAGGCCGAGCGGCTTCGGGAGAAAGCCGGGCAGTTGGACACCGAGGCGGCGGGGCTCCGGGAACCCGCCGCGCCAGCTGCCCCTGCTGACCCGTTGCTCCTGGCAGAGAGCGATGAGGCCAAGGCGCAGCGCGTGGCCGCCGGCGTCGGGGGCAGCCTGCGGGCCCAGGTGGAGCGGCTGCGGGCCGAGCTGCAGCAGGAGCGGCGCCGGGGCGAGGAGCAGAGGGACGGCTTCGAGGGAGAGCGGCTGGCCTGGCAGGCGGAGAAGCAGCAGGTGATCCGCTACCAGAAGCAGCTGCAGCACAACTACATCCAGATGTACCGGCGGAACCGGCAGCTGGAGCAGGAGCTGCAGCAGCTCAGCCTGGAGCTGGAGGCCCGGGAGCTCGCAGACCTGGGCCTGGCGGAGCCGGCCCCCTGCATCTGCCTGGAGGAGATCACCGCCACGGAAATCTAGGGCCCTCGGGGGCCCAGCTGTGCAGGGAGCTCCACTGAAAGGGAACCGCTGCCTCAGGTCCACGGAGGGCCCCGGAGCCACTCGTCCCCTGGGATCCAGGCCTCGGGGCCTCTGCCAAGAACCCGGGGCTGCCCTGTGACTTGGATGAGCAAGATCAGAACCCCCCCCTTGGAGGTCCCCGTAGTCACTGTCACCCAGAGGCTCCTGCTCACGCAGCCTGTTTCACTCCCCACCTGTTGCCAGTGCCACTCTGCCAACCCCATTCATTCACCCCAAACGCTCACCAGCTCAACCAGCTAGGGGACTGGGGAGAGGAAGAAGCTCCCTCGTCTCCACACTCCAAAGCCAGAGAGAGCCAGACAGCGCCAGCTGCTCCAGATGTGCCTGCCCTCCCCTGCCCGTGTCGGGGGGGACGGGGCTGGGACGGGGTCTGATCCCCCACTTCCAGCTCTGCAGCCTCTCGCCTGCGGTGAGGGGGGGGCTATCGTCAGACCAAAGGAAGAACTCAGAAATTCTGTCTCGTTTATTTGTGTTTGTGACCACGTTGCCCCTCCCTACACCCTGGTGTATGGCCTCGTATTTCACTTGTATATTTTTCACACTGTAAATTTCTTGTACAAACCCAAAGGAAAAAAAAATTTAAAAAAAATTTTTCATTTTTAAAAAAAAGGGGACTGTTGTTGGATAAAGATTATGGGACCTTGTTTGACCCTCCCCCGACCCCTCCTGGAGGTCTTCGAGGGAGGAAGGGAGCTGGGGAAAGGACAAATCCAGTAGAAAGTCTGCGGCTAGTGGCCCTCTCTGGGTCTGAGAAGTGAGGAAAGACATCCATCCTGTCCCTTGCATAGAACCCTGTGTGGGGCTGGGAGGTGGGTGCGGTGACAGAGGGCTATCTCTGAGAGTTCGGGTCCCCCAGAGCTCGGGAGAGTCAGAGGGGGCATCAGGAGAAAGTACCCTCCGACCCCAAGTTCCAGACCTTGGGCTTCTCGACCGGGAGGTTAGGAGCAGGGAGTACGGGACACAGGCTGCCCAGGAGCACCTTGTCCTTGACACCAAGTGTCTGGAAAGGGCAGAGCCTCGGGGGAGGGGAGAAAGCAGGGAGATGGGAGTAGGCGAGGCCAGCAGGACTGGGAGGTTCCTGAGTCAGAAGGTCAGTAGGCGGGAGGTCTGGGAGAGCAGGAGGATTCTGGGGGCAGTGGGCGGATCTGAGGTCGGTGGGAAGCCTCAGTGGGATAGGCGGGGAGAGCTGGGTGAGAATCTATAGAGTCTGGGAGGTTGTAGAGGGGACTGGGCTGTGGGGTGGCGACGGAGAGGTCTGGATATGGTCGGGAAGGGCGCTGTGAGGTTCTGGCAGCCAATGGGCGTACCACCCGGGAGTCAGCGGGCAGGGGAATGGTCTGGAGGAAGGAGCTGACCGCTGGGTGCTGATGAGTCAGAGGGCAAGGGGGGCGGGTCAGGCCAGGGGACCCGGACCACAAGCTCCATGGGCTCCCGAGCTTTGTTCCGATACGCCCGGCGGATGGTGTCCACGGCTCGCTGGTGGGTCACCTGCTCCAGACTCTCTCCATCCACTGCCACCAGCTCGAAGCCAGCCTAGGGAGGGCGTGGGAGGTCACAGCCCTGCTCCTCAGGTCACCCCCTGCTCCAGCGTCCAACCTCCACCTCCACCAGCGAGGACACTCCTTCTGGGTGGAGGGATGGACAATGGGACTTTTGTGCCTGGGGCTGTTGGGGGCTGGGTGGGGCACAGACAATGGCCCTTTGTCCCTTGGGGCAAGGGGTGGGACGGGATGGGCCGCCCTCAGGCCCAGGCTGGCAGGAGGGGACAGATTTTTTTCCTTGGCCAGCTCCTCCTGACCCCTCTCCTCCCACGACCTGTTCTGAACATGCCCGGCTGGCAGATGCGCGTGAACCAGCCTGCCCCGGCCAGAGGCCAGCCTGCCCCGCCAGAGGCCAGGACCAGCGCCAGCCGAGGGAGTGGACGGCGGCTTCCCCCACCTGCAGGGCCCCACTGAGGAAGGCGGCCCCCCCGGGGAAGATCTTCTCTATCTTCACCATGGGCTGCACCTTGGACTCGATGCCCCCCGAGATGCTGATGCCTAGAGAGTGAGAGACGTGGGAGAAGAGTGTGCCATCCCCCTCAGCCCAGATCGCCCAGGGTAGACCCAGGACCCCATCCATCCCCAGATCTGGGGCCCCCAACCTCCCCCAAACTCCAATTCCGTTACTACCGTACTCAATCCTCAACTCGCTCCAAAATCCTCTAGACCTCAAAACCCCCAAATCTATAGGTTCCCCCAACTACACCCCAAGACCCAGATGATTTTCCTGGGCCCAGGCCCCTCGTCACATCCCCAAACCCAGGAACACCACCCTCCCCCACCCAGACTCACCCAAGGACGGCTTCATCTTGGACAGCGTGACTGTCCGCAGCTCCCCGCTGGGGGCCTTCGTGGCTGCCTGCTCGGCGGTCCTGCCAGTTCCGTTCTCACTGGGCCCTTGGCTGCCTCTCGCCGTGGCCACCTGCCCGTCTAGAGGCTGTGGCAGAGGGGGCCTGGCCTTCCGAGGCTTATGGTAGCGCCCGTTGGCCATGCCAGGGGTGAGGATAGGCGCTGGGGACGGGGAACGCCTGCGTCCAGGGGACTTGCCCCGGCTGCGGCTGCGGCTGCGGCTGCGGCTGCGGCTGCGGCTCTGGGCCGGGCCCTGGCTCCGGCTCCGGCTCTGGCGAGGGCCTTCTCGGGCGAGGGGCTCTGTCAGCAGCCAGTTAGGCCTCGGGGGCCGGGGAGCCACGGGGGGCGGCTGGGGCGGGGGTGTGCAGGTGCCTCGGCGTGGAGCAAAGGCGTCTACTGGCACGTCTTGGAGCGGGGGGATCCCCTTGTGGGGGTGGCAGGAGGCAGAGGTGCCCAGGGAGACCTGGAGGTCCCCCAGCCGCTCCCTCAGCTCCCCATCCTCTTCCTCCTCAGAGAAGCCGTTCGCAGGCAGCAGGTAGAAGCCTCCACGGCTGTCTGGGGAAAGCGGCCCCGGTCAGGCTGCCCCCCGTCGGCCCAGACCCCCTGCCAAGCCCCGGGCCTCGCCTTTCTGAGGCTGAGGAGACCAGGCCTGCGTTTGCTGGAAACAATTCCCCAGTGAGGGCCCCTGCCCGTGGGCCATTGTAACAGTGGCTCTCATGCTTTCTATTGTGAGAGTTAGAGCTTTTTTTAAAATGTGTCTAAAAAAAAATATGACTCACACACCAAACTGGTAATTTCTTGAGGTTACCGCACAGACTGATTTAAACAGTGAGTGGGTTTAGAACCAATTATTAGGTAAGTAATAGTGGCGAGAGGATGTGGCAGTCACGGTTCTGGTGGATGAGGGCTTTCCCTCAGGAGCCACACGCACCTCTCAAACCAAAACATCCTCGGTCCCCGGGCAGGGACGAAGGAAGGCCTGTCCTCCCTCCCCAGGGCCCCCCTGTCCTCCCTCCCCCTGTCCTCCCTCCCCCTGTCCTCCCTCCCCAGGCCCTCCCCCTGTCCTCCCTCCCCCTGTCCTCCCTTCCCCTGTCCTCCCTCCCCAGGCCCTCCCCCTCTCCACCCTCCCCCAGTCCTCCCTCCCCCAGTCCCTCCCCCAGAGCCCTCCTGTCCTCCCTCCCCCAGTCCCTCCCCCTGGTTCTCCCCCGCCCAGTCCCTCCACTTCTCCTCCCTCCCCCAGTCCCTCCCCCTCTCCTCCCTCCCTCAGTCCCTCCCCCTGTCCTCCCTCCCCAGGCCCCCCCTCCTGGGTGTGCCCCCTCCCCGGCTCCGGGACTCGGACTGACCAGGCACAGGGGTGATGAGGTGACGCTTGGGTGGTGTGTCTTGCCGGGCTGGTCGCAGAGCAGGAGGCCGGACTGGAAGGAGAGAGGAGGTCAGCGGCAGGGACAGACTGACCGGCACCCCTATGGGCTCTGCTGACAGGGCTCTGCCCCCTTCCCCTGGGGATATGCCACCCCCACCTCCACCTGGGGGTCCGGATCCACACGTCCGCCCCCCAGCCGCTGACCTGCCCGGCTCTTGAGGGCCTCAAACGCCTCCAGCTCCACGGGCATCACCATGCTGTCGAAGCGGCCCAGGTCCGTGGGGGCCACCACGCTCCTGGGAGAGGGCGTGAGGGGGTGGGCGAGGGTTCAGATCGGAAGGTGCCGGGGGTGGGGGCTTCGGCCCTGGGACGGTTGGGGCAGGTGTCGGGGGTCCCCCTCTCCCGCCCAGACTCCTCCCCACAGCCCCTCCCCACCTGATGTCCCGCAGCAGCAGCAGCTTGGCGGGCTTGTCCAGGATGGCCAGCAGGGGCCTCACCAGGTCCTCCACGCCGCCCTCGTGCACGTACTGCAGAGACAGGCACACAGGTCAGAGGGCGGCAGGGACCTCCTGAGCTGGGCCAGGGGCCATGTGGAGGGTTGGGGGGGATGTTAGGAAGAGCTACCCCCATCCCCGGGCCCGTCCACAGGATGTCTTATCTTGGTGACTCGGTGAAACCTGCAACAATAACAACAGACCTGTGATAGTGAGGACAGCTCCGGGGCTGGCACTTTTCTAAGCTGTTTACCTATGTCTCTCATTTAGCCACCAGCCACCCTGAGAGATGACATTCTTTGTTCCCGGTTTGCAGACGAAGAAACTGAGGCTCAGAGAAAAGGACCCTGCCGACGCCACGCCGACGAGGAAGTGGGAAGAGGGACTGAAACTTGAGAGGTCTGGCTCTGGCCTGCGCTGTCCGGGAAAAGGATGTGCGGTGAGTGGACGCTCCTCCCCACCCCCTCCCTCCAAGCAGAAGGAAGGGATTGGAGCCAAGCACGAGGCTGTGCGCCTGGCTGGCCCATCATTTGTCTGCACACAGACCTACAAATTAGCCTTTGTCCAGGGCTGGAATGAGGACCGTGGGGACGGGGTGGCGGTACAGAAAGCCTCTCCAGGATGGAGGAGGCCCTTCGGCCTGGCACTGCCCGGATGTCACCGACCACACCCACCTACGCAGACAAACTGGCAAACTGAGCACTGGGAGCCACCCTGGTAGACACATAGCGCTCCCTGGTGGTTCAGGGACACAAACACAGAGCATCCTGCAGGGGCACAGACACAGAGACACAGCATGCTCTGCTGGTCAGAGCAAGACATTCATGCATAGCTGGAAGTAAATAAAAGATACACTCTGTGGGTGGCTCTAAGCCACACACAAAGTTATGGGGACTCACACACACACACACACACACACACACACACACACGGACAGTATACCCCCACATAGTCACAGAGGTGCACAAGCTGCAAGTTCACACACCTGCATTCAGCCCATTCAGTGCCAGGCTGTGTCCTGGAGGGTGGGGGGCAGGATGAGCAGCATGTTCCAGTGAACCATAAACCACTCACAGGGAGTCTCAGAGGAGGGTGGGAAGGAAGGTCAGAGTGGGCTTCATGGAAGTGGTGGCATTTACACTGACTTTTTTGGGGGTTGGGGGGACCGCAGGGGTCAGCACATCCTGAGTGCAATGGCTAAGCCTCGCCTTGGGAAAACCACCTTCGTGATCATGGCCCGTCCCCTGCCAGGTAAGGATTTACACCGACTCTTAAGGATAAACTCCGGGATCAGCATGCGTGTTGGGAGGAAAGTGCTCCCAGGGGGATGTGGACCAATGGGTAGACAGAAGTGTAGCTTGATCGTGAGTTACATAAGGGGCCTCCGTGTAGGCTGCGCAGGTGGTGACAGCAGGGAGAGCAGTAGCTCTAGAGCTGTGCCGTCCATAACCTGTGCCCGGCTCTGTGGGGAGCAGGGGTGATGTGGTGGCTATGGTAAGGACCAGACGTCCCGTTTTTGGTGGGACAGTCCCGATTTTTAACAATTTGTCCCGTGGCATTTTATTGATTTTTTTTTTTTTTCAGAGAGGAAGCAAGAGAGAGAGAGAGAGTCAGAAACATCCATCGACTGCCTCCTGCACACCCCCCACTGGGGATGTGCCCACAACTGAGGTCCATGCCCCTGACGGGAATCGAACCTGGGACCTTCCAGTCCACAGGCCGACGCTCTATCCACTGAGCCAAACCAGCCAGGGCTGTACGCGGGACAATTTGTGAAAAATCAGGACTGTCCCGCCATAAACGGGACGTCTGGTCACCTTAGGCTATGGGAAAGCTGAGGTTAGTGGGTTGAAGAGTTCAATCAGGGAGGACCTTGACGGTGAGAACAAGGAACTTGCACTCCATCCTGTCACAGAGGTTCCCAGGGGCTTGGGGAGTGTGAAGCGATCAGAGAGGTGGCTTACCATGCCCATCCTGGAGGCTGTGAGGAGGTGGCTAAGAGGGCGAGAGAGAAGGGGTTCAGGGACACACATCAGAATCACCAGGGGAGATTTACTCATCTCTCAGGCCACCCCAGAGGGTCTGATCTCTTGGTGTGGGTAGGGGTTGGGTTCGGTCTGGGTAGTATGTGGAGCTCCCCAGGTGCTGTGGGGACACAGTGAGAGGCATCCGAGTTGAGGTGGGGGAGAGAGAAGCCTCCAGGAATTAGGAAAAAGGAGCGAATAAAGGAACGGAGGCCCACCTAGTGGCCACGGCCCAGAAGTGCATGCTTACGGAGGCCGGTTCAACAGCTGGCCCCGCTTAGCCTTGAGAGATGAGCATGACACTTGGGTTTAGCGAAACCTGAAAGCCATCAGCTGCCCCCAACATGATGCAGCAGATCACAGGGGGCCCTGCTGTAAACAGGCCTTGGTAAGAGGATGCCTGAGTTACCACGCCTCAGTCTCCAGGTGACTCATGCACCCTCACACAGATAACAATCGTGTGACGGCTACATCAACACAAATCCAGGCACTCCACAGACAGACAAATGCACACATCACCCAGACAGATAGCACAGCCCCACCCTGACCAAGGTGACGGAGTGGGGGTGGGGGGTGAGAGATCCACAAACGGTTTCCTTAAAACTCCCCAGACAACCCTTGGGCACAGGCGGGAGTTCCCAGATTCAGGGCAGGGAAGCCATCCCAGAAACCGGAAGGCGAGGCAGTGGGAAGCCTAGAACCTGGAGAGGGCCTTCCAGTCCTCATGGAGGAGGTGGCATGTGCCTTCTGTAGTCACCAACCTGCAGGCTACGAAGACCCCTCCCATCTGACCCCTTTTATTTTATTATTATTATTTTTTTAATTGATATTTCACAGAGAGGAAGGGAGAGAGATAGAGAGCTAGAAACGTCGATGAGAGAGAAACATCGACCAGCTGCCTCTTGCACACCCCCTACTGGGGATGTGCCCGCAACCAAGGTACCTGCCCTTGACCGGAATCAAACCAGGGACCTTTAGTCCGCAGACCGACGCTCTACCACTGAGTCAAACCGGTTTTGGCCTCCCATCTGACCTCTTTGCCGCTCTGGACCCTCTGGGCTGTTTGAGGTGGAAGGGAACAGAGAGTAGCAGTGCAGGTGTTGAGAGGGTTGGGCTGTGAGGTGGGGGAAGGGAGAAGGGATGACTTACCTGTGCCAGGCCTGCTGGCTCACCCAGGAGCAGAGGGAGGCGTGGGGACAAGCTGGGGTTTAGAGGAGAACAGAGGCGGGTGGCTGCAGGGATGCCTGTACCCCAACTCATCACCTGCCTGGCTCCTTCTCTCCTCAGCTTAAACATCACCTCCTCAGACAGGCCCTCCAAGGCCACCTCTCATTTGTGCTCTTGTGTTCCTTTATTGTGTTCTTTCCCCTCACAGCACTTCACCTGAGTTGTCAGGATGGGTGTCTAGGTTCTGGTGTCCAGCTGCCCTTTCCGGTTGTGAGCTCAGCATGTGTGAGGGTGTGTGCCTGTGACAGGGGTGACTTCCGCTGTTACTGACCACGGGCCTCACGGTGTTGAGCCCAGATGCTGGTCAGCAGACAGTAGCCTGAGTGAGTGAGGGCCTGGTGACCGAGTGGCCATGTGCTGGGGTTGGGGGCCGGCCGGCCGGCTGGGGGCTCACCCGGGAGCAGTGGCGGGTGACGGCCAGCACCTCGTCATCCGTCAGCAGCCGCCGGGCCAGGTCCTGGATCAGGGGCCGCCGGCTCTCCCAGGCCTGCACCTGCTCGTCCACGTTGGGCAGCTGGCCGGAGGGGCTCCCGGACCTGGCAGAGAGCAGGGCCCGGCCCCTCTCCCGGTCTGCAGGGCAGGAGCAAAGGGATATGATGGAGGAGCCCGGAGCCATCTGGAGAGGTGGTAGGGGCTGTCCTAAAGGGGGGTCAAACCCCTGGACGTTCTGGGTGAGAGGCCCAGCTGCCCCTGACGGAGTCCCAGCCATGCTCTCCAACACAGTCTGCCATGGTGATCTGCCCGCCCTGGGAGCCCTACCCCAACCCTCTGCCCACATCACAGACCCCTCTGCCAGTCTGTTCCGTAACGGAGGCCTGGCCCAGGGCCCTGAGGTCCCCTGAACATACACTGTCGAGGTTCCCATTGGAGTTCTCACAAGCCTTCCTCATATCCCCCCACATCTGTATTTGGGAGACCCGACTCCAACTCCAGAGGCCTAAACATGTACCGTAATATCTGTCTGCAGCCCTCTTTTCCCCAGCCCAGTTCTTCTAGCTGCCCCCAACGTGGACTTCCCTATCTGCCTGGTCCCTCGTGCTTGATCGCAACTGAGTTTAGCCCGAAGACCCTTAGCTGCCCCAGCATGCACCCCACCCCGCCAGCAGCTCTGCTGTAAACCTCTTTGGTAAAGCGATGCGCGAATTACCGCGTCTCAGCCTCCAGGTGACAAACTTCTGCACGGGTCCCACTCCCCCTGCTAAGAAGAAAAAGGCTCAGCAGCAGGCCCTGTCCTCGATCTGAAAGTCGGGGATTGGGGGGTTCAGGACTGGATGGGTCACTGGTTGGTACGGAGAGTTCAGGCTGGAAGGCGGTGGGATGGGGAGGCAAGGGGCCAAGCCAGGAGGGTCTCGAAGGCCATGCTCAGGCCAAGAACTTGGTTTGTAGGCAGTGGTGAGTTCGTGAAGGATTTGGAACAAGAGAGGGAACAGCCGGAGCTCTGCTTATAGAGATTCATTTGGAAGCAAATGGATGGAGGCAAGAACCCTAGGGACAAAGTCTGGGGGAGCACTCACCTTCGGGGGACCCAGAGGAAAGGGACAGCCTTTGGAGGAGAGAGAGGAGTGGCCTGAGAGGTGAGAGGAGAACCAGGAGAGAGCAGGGCCCTGGGGGCTGTGGAGAGAGAGATGAGTTGAGGAAGGGGGGCTGGCCTGCCCTTATTTGAAGGGATTGTCTCTCCCATGGGGCTGTCACCTTGCAGCCCCCGGCTGCGGAGGATGAGGGGAGAAGGGCACAGGGCCCTGCACTTCATCCTCTGGTTGTTTTTGCCTACCCAGCATCCGCTCTCCCCCCGGAACACACTTTGATTTCACCCAGGGTCCCGCATCCTCAGAGCGCGTTCCCCAGGGGAGCTGAGGGCAGAGCCTCTCTCCCACGTCGCAGTGATTGTGGGGCCTGTGGTCCCGGCGGGGCGGCCAGTGAGAGCCTGAGGCTGCAGTGGAGACTCTTTGAGGAGAAGCTCTCTTTTCTTTGTGTTGCTAAGCGACAGTGGCCATCTTAGCTCAAATGGCCAAAGCCTGCAGGACAAGGAAGCCAACCCAGGGAAAGGGAACCAAAGATGAGGGGGCAGATGTCCGATGAGACTGTTTACATCTGTAGGTCCCAGCGTAAATCAGCAGTTGAGCCAAGAGGTGCTTTTTAAAGCTGCTTTGACTTGAGTTTCTGTCACGGGCAACCTCAGCAGTCAGGCTGCCCGCTCTTGGTCCAGCCTCCGAACCTCACGCGGGAGAGAGGCCCTCCGAGAGGATCCTGAGGAGGCCCCTGACGTGAGTGAGTCTGCCTCGGCCCTTCCACGGGGGCCCTCATCTAGAAACGGCTGAGCTCAGGGATGGTTCCAGAAGCGGGTAGGGCCTGTGGAGTTTTGGCCAGGGGAGGTGATGCCACATATTCTAGGGAAAAAAGTGCCCTTCCCTGCCCTCAGACCCCAGCTCCGCCACTTCCTTCTGTGCTGTGACTCTATCAGTTTTCCCTTCTGTAAAATGGGCAGATGAGGCCGTACAAGAAGGACCACTACTTTTTCTGGGCACCTGTGTGGCAGATAATGTCCTAAGTCAGTGATCGGCAAACTCATTAGTCGACAGAGCCAAATATCAACAGTACAACGATTGAAATTTCTTTTGAGGGCCGACTTCTGCACAAGAGCCACAAAGTTTCAATCGCACTGTACGTGTGCGCCCACACGCGGTGTTTTGTGGAAGAGCCACACTCAAGGGGCCAAAGAGCCGCATGCGGCTCGCGAGCCACAGTTGGCCGACCACTGTCCTAAGTGCTGAACATACACTAACTCACTTATTCTTCACTATTCCTCAAGAGATGGGCATCATTACTTCAGTTTCACTCCCGAGGAGGCGGAGGCTCCCAGGGGGGATGGTGACTCTCGGCCGGTAAGAGGCCGCGTGGGGCTGGATGCCCGAGTGGCCTTTCCCTCCCGTTCCGCCGGGCCCCGCACTCACCTTTCTCCACGTCCAGGCGCGGGCGGGGCTTGGCCGGGCTCCCTCTCTCCAGCGTCCAGGCCTCTCTGCGCCCGTCCCCCAGCCGCCCCTGCCGCCCGCCCTTGCAGAAGAGGTTCATCAGTGTCTTGGAGCGTTGCAGGGCCCCCTTCTCCCCAGGGGACCCCGACTTCTCCTTCTTCCGCTGCTTCTTCTCCTCTGCAGACACGAGGGAGCACCCGGGAGGCTGGAGGGCGGGCAGAAGGGGAGGACCAGGGGCCGGGGTGTGGGGAGGGGCAGAGAGAAGGGAGAGGAGGGGACAGACAGGGTCTGCGGCCATGTGGGGAGGTGGGGGTGGGGGTGGGGGTGCAGGCAGGGTCCCTCCTCCAATTTTTTGCACACACACGCCCCCCGCTCTCCCCTTAACCACAGCTACAGTTGTGCGAGGAAGCCACGAGGACTGGAGAGTGTGTATGTGTGTGTGTGTGTGTGTGTGTGTGTGTGTGTGTGTGTATACAGGTCTAGGAACTCCTGGAGGGGGCTTGTTAGGGCTCTTTGGGGCTCAGAGGGACTGGAGCTGGGTCTGGGTCCGAGTGTATTCTGGGGCTGAGGCTGGGGCTAGGTCAAGGCCTGGGGCAAAGAGGGAGGTTCGGGGCCCAGAGCGGGGTCTAAGGGAGGTCTTGGGACAGGGGCTTTCAAGAGAGCAGCAGCCACCCATCCCCCACGTACCCCACAAGGTCAGGTGGCTCTGGGAGCGTGTGATGGGGGGCCGGGGCCGGCTGAGGGCCAGCAGCAGAGCAGTCTTGGGGGACTCGGAGAGAGCGGAGCCAACGCGGCGGGAGGGCGAGGGCCCGTCGGAGCGGATGGCCGTGTCCCTGAGGATGACGGTGGGCCGCACGCTGCACCAGGTCTCCACGCGGCCGCCCACGTCGGGGTCCGTCTGCATGGCCGTGTCTGCTCGCCCCCAGCCTGGGCCTCGGCCGCTCGGCTCCTCGGGCCCCAGGCAGACGTCCATGCGGTCGGAGGGCAGGGAGCTGGAGCCCTCCGCCGAGCTGTAGGGGGCGCTGGAGGCGTAGGAGGAGACGCTGGAGCTGCTCTCAGAGGCCTGGGACAGCTGCTGCAGCACCCCGTTGCTCACTGCGGGGCGTGGGGAAGGCAGGGGCATTTCGGGGGGCTGGCAGGTTGCTTCAGGGCCCTGCCAGGCTTGCACACTACCCTGGGCTTGGGGGGCTTGGGGAGGATCCCATAGCTGCCGAGGTTGGAAGCTCAGGATCTGGGCGGCCGGCTGCTCAGCATCCCGCCGGCAGGATGAGACCTTGAGGAAGTCACTTCTCCTCCACCCATCCCCGTGGGGCTCCAGATCCTAGGAGAGCCTGACGCAGAACCTGCAGCGTCTCCAAGGAGGCTCCAAACAGCTCCCGGCTGTGTGAAAATCCCAGTTCCGTCTTGGTCCCCCTGCCCACTTATTCCTCCGATAGTCTGGCCCCACCCTCGGGCCCTGCCCTTTCCCTCCAACCCTGGAGGCCTGAGCCACTTACGCCGGTCCAGCCAACAGTACTCAGAAACCATCTCCTTGTAGGCAGGGTACCGGCCGGTCTCCTGGGGCGGGCGTGGTGGGCAGAGGAGGGCAGCGGGGGGGGAGGGGGGTCAGAAGGGAGAGTAACAATGAGGAGGGATGGGACGGGGGTCAACTTTTCACCCCTATCACTCTCCGTCCTGCGCTGACCACACAAGCCACTGTATTTCTGCCACGCCAGGCTTCCCCACCCTCCAGGGCCTTTGCACGTGCTGTTCCTTAGGATTGGGTTCTCTTCCTGCAGCTCGTCTTGTGGCCCGCTCCTTCCCCCTCTCCAGGGGTCACCTCCTCTGACATCCCCTGACTAAGAGTGTCTTCCTACATCACCCCAGCCCCTCTCTCTGTTAATTTCCTACAGCATTTGTCACAATCTGCGTGGATCTAGTTTACTTATCTGCCTCTGCCAATAGCAAAGATCTTGTCTTGTTCTTTGTTGAACCTTGCACACTGGCCATCCTATAGTAGGTACTAAGAGATATTGAATGAATGGATGGATGAGTGAATGGATGAGGGGATGAGTGGGAGTATGGAAGAGCAGTTTGGGACAATTTGAGAGGAAGGAAAGGAAGATGGAATGTGGAGAGGCGGGGAAAAGGCAGTGGGGGCGGGGAATGGTGGAGGAGGCAGGGGATGGTGAAATGGGTGAAATGCTGGGAGAGGGAGAAGGGTGGAGCAGGGGCCAGGGCGAGGCACTGGGCAGAGGGAGGCATCCCATGCTCCAGGAGCCGGAGTGAGAAGGACCTGATCCTCAGGCAGGTGTGAGGCCCACATGAATAATGGATCCAGCCACCTCCCCTGAAACCCAATCTCTGGCTCAGCCCCGCCCTTCTGCCCTGTACCCTGAGGGTGCCCACCGCCTAGGTCCTATCCAAAGCCATAGCTACCACCCACCTGTCTGAGCGGGACATTCCCCCCCCCCCCCTATTAATCCCAGGCCTCCACCACTCATACAAGGTAAACTGCCCTGGACACCTGGGGAGCAGGCCTGGAACAGGCCCTGCTGCTGACCGCCTGAGTAACCGCCTGTGGTGCCTCAGTCACTTTGCCTCTCTGAGCTTTCCTTTCTTCTGTAAAATGAGGATAATTCCTGCCCCATCTCTCATGTGGCCGTGAAAAGGTTCAATTGCAGAGCAATGGGCATAACTAAGAACTAGAGGGCTCTGGGAAGTCTTCCCTACTGTCTGGCCTCTCCCCGACGCCCACAGCTCTGCCCACCTTGATGGTCAGCATGATGTGCGTTTGGCCCTTCAGCACCTCCACGGCCTGGCTGTGGCTGATGTCATCGAACCGGACCCCGTTGGCTGCCAGGACCTGGTCTCCCACCTTGATGCCATTCTCCTCAGCCAGCCCACCATGATCCACTCTGGGGGCAGACGGGCAGCAGTCTGGTAGCCCCCAGGCCTGGCCTGCCCTCCCTCACCCCAGTCCAGACCCTCCTCACTTGGATACAGGGATGCCCCAGTCAAATGCCTTGACCCTCCTCCTAGTGACCCAGCCCCCCCTCTGCGGATCCCACCCCTGACCTAAGCCCTCATTTGACCTTGCAGTTGGCCAGGCCCCCCTTGCTAACCCAGCCCCGGGTCCCAGCCCAGGTCAAACTCCCAGCCCCATTCCCTACCCCACCGGCTGCACTCCCTGCCCACGCCTCACTTGGACACGTAGATGCCCAGGCCGAACTCCTTGCCCCCGCGGATGTTGAAGCCCAGGCAGAAGTCGTCGGAGGTCGTGTAGAGGTGAACAATGCGCCGCACCCCGTCCTCCGAGCTGCTCTCCGACGGCGTGGAGCTGCACTTCTCCACCACCAGCCGCCGGTTCACCACGTCCACCCTGGGCCGCAGCAAGGGCCTTCAGCCTGGGCCCCCTCTGCCACTCCCCCCCCACCTCCCAGCAGCCCCACAACTGCAGGGGGAAAGTGGGCTGCCTTTGGGGGACCTCCCAGGTCTAAGATCTTCACTGGGACAAGAATTAATCAAATCTGAGGAGTCATCCTAATTTTCTCGAACCCTCATAGGCCCAGGAGGAAGAGGCTCTGATATTATCTTAAACTCAGCAGCAGCAGCAGCAGCAGCTAGGGGGCAGGGCCACTGGGGTCTGGGAAAGCAGAGCTGCGGCGAGGAGGGGGAGAGACAGGGGCTTTTCTCACTTCAGGGTCAGGCCTTACGGTCTCTGTGACCCAGCCCCAGGGGTTGGGAGAAGCAGGAGCCACACCAGCCGGGCCTGCGCAGAGCCCTGTGCCCTCAGCCTCTCCTGCCATGGCTCTGGGTGGGGGGCAGGGGCAGGCAGGGCAGGCCTTCTCACCACGTGGTCTTCTCCTTGGAGAACTTGATGCCGGGCACACGGCCCATGCGCCTCACCATCATGTGCAGGCGGCTGCTGCCCGTCAGGACCTTCACGGCGCTGCCCATGGTGGTGCTCTCCAGGCTCAGCCCGTTCGCCTCCGTGATCTTGTCCCCCACGCACAGGCCCGCTCGCTCTGCACCGGGGAGAGGGGCGGCGGGTGCGGGCCATTTGGGAAAAGTCCCCCAGCGAGAGGCTGAGCCCCCATCAGACCAGGCTCCCTGGGCTGAAACTTCTTCCCTGAGATGTGGGGTCCCAGGTGGGATCTGTGTGTCCCATATCCGACTGGGGACCTGTCCAGGGGCCCACTCCGCCCTGACAGGGGGCGCCATCTCCCCATTAGATCAGGCCCTCCAGAGCCCAGGATTCTTTCTCCCATCCCTGACAATAGAACCTCTGCGCCCCACCAAGGTGGGGTCACATACCTCCCAGGACCTCACCCCGGGGACCCCGCTCACCTGCGCTGCTCCCCTCCTCCACCTTGCTGACGAAGATGCCCAGGCCGTGCTCAGAGCCGCCACGCACGCTGAAGCCCAGCCTCCCCGCCGGACTCTTCTCCACCCGGACTGCGTGGATGATGTCGCTCTCATCGCTGTTGGCTGTGGGGATGAGAGCACAGGCATGGCTCCCATGCCTATTCCGAGCACAGTGAGCCCCTGGGTTCCCCAGCGTGGCCTGCAAAAGCTGGGTTGCTGGGTTACAGGCATCTAGGGACCTACATGAGGGGGGCAGTCAATTTCTGAGTTTCCTCTGGGTGACTTTGAGACTGTGGGCTAGGGAGGGGATGGGAGTAGACAGGACAGGACTCCCTGTGGGAAGACACTGTTCTCATAATGTAGGGGTGTGTGTGTGTGTGTGTGTGTGTGTGTGTGTGTGTCTGATGCTTAGCAAGCTTCAGTTTCGCATGTCCATAGGCCTAGGATAGGCCAAATACCTAAAAATAATGGGATTCTGAGGGTCAGAGAGATGGAGGTTTAAGAATACGTTCTTGGGAGCACAGCTGAGGGAGTCTGGGCTCTTCAGCTTGCAGTGGAAGTGAGTATGTCAGCTCCATCTTTAAACAGCTGAAGGACTGTTCTGTGCAAGGCATCAGATGTTTCTGACTGTGCAACCCAGTGGACAGAGCAAAACCCACAAAGCAGAATTGAATGGAGGCCCACTGAGCAAGGGGAAGCTTTCTAATACTTTCAGCCGCCAGACATGGAACGAGGTTTTCAGGAGGGAAAGCGGGTTCCTCATTCTTGGAGGCATACAAGCTGCCACTTGGTAAGTCCCTGTCGAGGGTGTTGTGGAAGGATCCCTGAGGTGCCTTCTGACTCTTGCACTCTGAGATTCTGGAAGCAATGGCTCTAAGAGCTACCTGACTGTCTGAAGAGAGAAACCCAAAACAGCACCATGTGCCTGCATGTGGCCAGAGCCCAGAGTGGTCCGCCCCATCAGCGCTGGGGAAGCCAGAGGAGGAGGGTCCCCAGGGGCTGGAGCTGTCAGGGAAGGGTTCTTGGAGGACTCAGGGAGGTGGACTTTGGATGGGTGGAGGGAAGGGAAGGCATTGATGAAGGGATGGCGTGAGCAAAGGCTCAGAGGTGGGTCCTTGAGAAGGCCTTTTTGTTGGAAAAAAAATGAGAAGACTGGAGGGATGAGAAGGTGAGATTTCTTCTTGGGGCTTACTCCAAAATTCTCTCTCTCTCTCTCTCTCTCTCTCTCTCTCTCTCTCTCTCTCTCACACACACACACACACACACACACACTTCTGCTTCATCTAAGAGAAACCAGAGCAGCTCAGGGAGAAATCCCCAGGGGCAGCCTGTGGGCAGGGTGTGCAGTACAGAGACGTGGGGATCCTGGGACTTCCAGGGCAGTCCCCCGCCCCCATGTCTTGTAGCCCCTCTGGGGACTTCTGCTCCATGACCCAGAGTGACAGTGGTGACCCTCAACAGCGCCCTGCTGCTCCCCAAGGGTGAGGCTGAGTGTGTAGATGATGGGTGTGCTGGGCCACAGCCTGATTCCCGAGTTACATGCTCCACCCCTGCCCCAGAGGCCCAGATGGGTCAGGGGGAGGATCAGGGTCGGAAGAGTTCAGTCTAGGATCCAGCCAGGGCCCTCTGCAGAAAGCCCAGGCCTGGAGAGCCCCCACTTCCCTGCTGTCATCCGAGGTCCTGCTTTCCTCATCTGCTCTTTGTTGTCTCACACCTGTCACTGTAGCCAGGCTGTCTCTTCAGTGCCGCCCCCTCATGCTCCATGCTTTCTACGCCCATCCTTTGTCTGGGATACCTCCACCCCATCACCAGCTGTTCTCCTTGCCATCTCTAAGCCCTGCTACCACATAAATTTCTGAAAGTGAAGACTGAGCCTTCTTTCTCTCCAGGTTCCCTGCAGGCCCTAACCAGGGCTGGTATAGAACAGTGCAATGAAGTGGCAGTAAGCATCTACATAAGCTTAGCCTTCCCCTCCTTCAGGGCCCAGCCAGGGGCTCCTTCCCTGACCCCCACCTTCCTTTTCTCCACACACTTCTAAACACTTGGTACTCTATCCTCATTTCCTTCCTTTTTCATGTGGAGCCTTTCATTCCGTCTGCCCAACTGGGCCCTGGCTCCACCCCCGGCCCCTGCTCAACACAGAACTGGACACACAAAAGGCATACGCAGATGGGTTTGGACAAAGGTAGCGTCTATGGGGGAAAAAATAAATAAATAAAACCAGCAGATGAGCAAAGCAGGACCTTGAATGACAGCAGGGAAGTGAGGGCTCCCTGGGCTGGGCTTCCTACAGACAAGACTAGGTATCTTCAGCTCCTCTCTGTCCCTCAACCAGCGCGCTGGCTGAATCCTAGACTGGACATTTCAGACTCTGCCTAGCTCACTTGGGGCTGGCATCACACACACACACACACACACACACACACACACACACACACACTTCCCCCGTGGCTATGCCCTATTTCCCACCTCTGACCTCTCTATAACCCTGGAGTCCTAAAGGATGGGCCTAAAGGAGCAAAGTAAATGAGGAAGAGTGTGTGGCTGTATGGGTTCCCAGAAGCCCCACCCTCCACCCTCGAGGCTCCCATCTCTTGAGTTCCCCCACTCATGTTGGCTCTGCCTCCTTCTTCTTTGTGCCATATGCCCTCTCCTCCACCCTCCTCGGCTCCGCCTGTGGCCGGGCCCCACCCCCACCTTCGATGGGGGAGTTGATGAGGATGACACGGCCCATGGGAGACGAGGCTCGGATTCCGCGGGAGGGCCCATTCAGCAGCCGCTGTTGCTTCCTCAGCAGGTATCGCGTTGCGGAGCCTGTGTCGCTGCCCAGGTGGCCTCGGGAGGAGAGGGAGCTCAGAGAGCCAGAGCTTAGGTCTCCAAGGCCCAGTGGGTCGAAACCCACCGAGAAACCGCGCGCCATGGCGGCTGGGCTACAGGCCCAGAAGGAACCTGCTGGCCCTCGAGGGGAGGGCTCTGCATGCTCCGGGCTCCATGAGCCTCTGGGCAGGACTGGGTTCCCAGGGAACGGGACCCCTCACCTCCGCTGCCGCTGGAGTGTGCACTGGGCCTGCGCAGGAAGAAGGAGGGAATGCAGGAGGGGTGTGAATGCTGCCCCGCCCCCGAATTTCCACCCCTCCCTCTGGTTTGAGCATCCTGCCCTCCCATGCCTTAGGCCAGAGAGCTGCCCAGTCCGGACACCACCATGGACCTTTGGACCTCTTCACACGAGGCTGGTGGGGACCCCTCCTTCACCCCTCACTCTGCTCTCAGCTGAGTCATCTACTCGGTCCTCTATCCTCCAAGGAGGTTGAGTGGAGAGGATGGGATTACTGCAGGCCCTGGGCTTCAAGCGGTGTGAGAGGAATTGGGGCCAGGGCAGTTTATTGCTCACCTCTCTTGTGTCTGGAAGTAGGGGGTCAGCCAGTATTTGGTGATCAGGCCTCAAGGGCTGTGCTTCAGGACCTGGGACAGCTGCAGCCAAAGCCCGCAGGGATTTCCCGGCCCAGAGACCACCCCTCCTACCCCCACCCCAGGCCCAGAGAGCTGTTCCTTCTGTCCCCTCCTATCCCGTTTAAGAGGTTGCAAAACCCTCTCCCAGGCTTTGCAAAGAACCTGCTAGTGTGAGCCCCACAACATCCCCCGCAAACCCGGAGCAGATCTCAGCGCACCGCCCCCGGATCGGTCCTCCTGGTGCCCCCACCTCTGGCTTCTCAGCCCCTGGAGCCCCTCACCTGCGAGTGTGAGCGCGGCCGCCGGCCTCGCCCGCCCGCGGGCGCGAGCGACTGCAGCAGCCGGGGCCCCGCCCACTCCCCGCCGCGGCTGCAGGAGGGGGCGGGCCTGAGCAGCCCCGCGCTCCCATTGGCTGAGGGCACCGCCAGTCACTCCTCCCGCCACCTCTCTGAGACACCCGGGACAGCCGTTTTTCTCCCGGGCCGGGGCTGCTGGGCTCAGGACACTCCAGCTGGTGTTCTGATGCCCACCTCGACCGCGGACTCGGGGCGTGGGTCGGCTCCCGCTATCAGTTCAGCACAGGGGAGCCCAGAACCTTGACTTCTCCAGGCCAAGCCAGCCACCAGGGCTCATGGAACTGCCAGCCCTCTGCGGTCAGCCCCCAGGCCTCAGGGAGGGAGGGTCGCCTGGGCGGAGCGGGGCGTGAGCCGCGGTGGGCAGGAATGGACTGGAGCCTGGGAGTGGGACTCTGTAGTGTGCCTGGGTGAGTTGTGTGTGTGTGTGTGTGTGTGTGTGTGTGTGTGTGTGTGTGTCTGAGAGCTGCTTTCTTCACATGCATCCTCCTCCTATGCCAGAAAGTGTTTCCCTGGCCGCCCAGTGATGGCAAGGTCGCAGGGAGCGGCAGCTGGTTTCGGGATTCCAGGGGGAGGAATAATCGTTCTGATCTATTATATTTGCTTCATGCAGACAGAACCTTGAGACTTTTGTTCCTTCCCATCCAGGGCTGGGGTCTGTGGCTGAGGCCAAGGGATGGGGACTGGGGGCATAAGGAAACTGGGGACCTAGTGAGGCTAGGGGTCACAGAGGAGAACAAGGATGGGGGTGGGGAAAGGACTGAGTGCAAAGAAGGGGCACAGGCTCGAACGGAACAGGGCTGTGAGGGGTGTGGATGCCGAGATGCTTTAAGGAAGGAGCCCAGGAGACCGAGGAGACAGAAGCCACTGCCAAGGCTGCCAACCAGTAAACAGACCGGGAGGTAACCCGAGCCCCGCTGGGCGCACCCTCAGAGGACGGCCCCTCCACGCCGCCCGCCCGCCCGCCTGCCCCTGCAAAGGGTTCGCCCTGGACACCTAGGCCCCTGGCTGCCGAGGCCAGGAGCCTCCGGAGGCCGGCCAGGGGATTGCAAGCCTCCGCGGCTCCTCCCCTCCTCTTTCTGGCTGCGGCCGCGGCCAGAACTGATCCCTGAGCCCGGATTGGCTCCCGAGGCGGCGTGGGGCCGGATCCCGGTGGCCCGGTCTGGGGGCGTCGCCCCGAAACGACACCCACTTCTCTCAGGCTCTGCCAATCCCCGGGCACGCAGGGCGGACGCGCCGGGAGCAGCCCCCGCCCCTCCTGATGGTTAGCGTCACGCGTGACGTTACACGTGTTGGGTGGGAAGGCGGGGGTGAAGCGCGGAGAGCTGCAGAGGCCGGGAGCCCAGGAAATTGTGAGTGTTTGGGCAGGGTTTCGGGCTCCGGCGAGTAGGGGGTTGAAGGCTGCGAGGAGGAGAGGAAGGCCTATCCTTTCCGGGTTCAGTTTGTTAGTCTGTGGGAAAGCCCACGGGGCTCGGGAAGAGGTTAATTGGGAGGAAAATGTCAGGGTGGGGCTCTGTATGGCCATACATTCAAGTGTCTGCAACAGATGGACATGGGTGTAGGTGTGTGTGCGTGTGTGTGTGTGTGTGTGTGTGTGTGTGTGTTGGGGGGGGCGGGAAGAGGGGAGGAGGGAGGGATGGCGTGAAAGTAACGGTCTTTGTGGGCCAGTGCCTGCAGGGTGTGTCCACCCTGTTTGAATGTCTGTGTAGGGCGAGTAGGATGGTGCCTTTGTGTGTGGGTATGTGAGTGTGAGTGTGTGAGAGTGGGGAGGGTGTGTCTGCCTGTGAGGGAGGAAGTGTGGGTAATGAGGATTAGTCATTCTGTAGGATTGTGCCCAAACGCAGCCAGATGGCTGATTCAGGCTTTCCTCTCTGTGCTGGGTGGAGGGGGCACTTACAGAATCTCATCTCTTTCTTTCTTTCTTTCTTTTTAAAAAAATATATTTTATTGATTTTAAAGAGGAAGGGAGAGATAGAGGGAGATAGAAACATCAATGATGAGAATCATTGATTGGCTGCCTTTTGCACGCCCCCTACTGGGGATTGAGCCGGAAACCCAGGCCGGAAACGAACCTGGGACCTTTCAGTCTGCAGGCTGACGCTCTCTCCATTGAGCCAAACCAGCTAGGGCAGAATCTCACCTCTTTCTGGAGGCAGGTGGCTTTGGGATGGAAGGGGTGGCTTTCTGGTCCAGCCCTGCCCTGCCCTGCTAGGGAACAAGGAGAGCCGTGGGGCATTCAGTGTGGGTTACACACACCCACACACACACACCTGGCTGGCATCAGAGTTCCAGTTTGAGATCTAGGATAGATAAGCCCTAGGATGGCCAATGAGCTCCCGCTCTCTTCCAGTCTGGGTCTGGGTTGTGGGCTGGCTTATGCCCACAACCCAGTTTGTATCCAGGATTTCAGGGCAGCTGGGGCCTGAAGCTGACATGAGCTTAAACATGGGATGCATATAATATGCACTTTTGCACAAACAGAGCACGAGTAGCTGCATGGTGTTAGCTGTTGCTCATGCATTAACCACACACATGTAAATCTGCACTCAGCCAGAGCACAGAATCTGTTTTCCTGGTTCTGTCCCCACCCCTCCCTCCGCCCTCAGCCTCCTCCAGTGGTGGCAGGTCCCTGGGCCAGGACGTTGCCTAGAAAACAGCCCCTCCCCCCACGGTTGCTTACAGACCTGGAGTCACCTTGAGCTCCAGAAGGGGTTGGCGTTAGGCCCAGAGACCAGAGCAGGGCCACCAGAGGCTCTCCCAGGTGGAGCCCTTGAATCCCCTCCTGGAGTCCTCTGACCCTGCTCCCCGTCCTGCAGAAAATGGGTGAGTTGCCTTTAGATATCAACATCCAGGAACCTCGCTGGGATCAAGGCACTTTCCTGGGCAGAGCCCGGCACTTCTTCACTGTCACTGACCCCCGGAATCTGCTGCTGTCTGGGGCACAGCTGGAAGCTGCCCGGAACATCGTGCAGAACTACAGGTGACCCCCCTTCCCCACCTGATCCTGTACCCCAGGTTTCATCCCCTGCCGTTAATACACAACCCTTTGCACCTGTCCCCCATGCTTGAAAGTGACCCTTTCCCAGCCCTCACTCCCTGTCCCTATCTGCTGGAATCACAGACCACTATGGCACAGCGCTTTAACCCAAGAGATTTTAGGGTGTTTGGGTTGAGGAAGTGGCCTTTTTATTTATGCCCCTACAGGGACCCATCCCACTGCTGGGCCACCCTCTGCAAGAACAGAGGGGCTCAGAGTTGAGTCCCGAGGAGGCAGGAGGGCATCCCCTTTGTCTCCAGGAGGAAAAGCCCTTGCAGTACCCCTAGCCATTTTTGACCCACTGGAAACACCAGTATTGGGGCAGAAACACAGGGCAGCCTCTTTGTGTGGCTAGAAGGGAAAAAGGAATAGGAGCTCCCACTTCAGGAAGATTAGATTCTCTTCTACACACCGGGAGCTCCTTTATTCCCTGATGGGAGACCAGAGTCTTTTCCTGAGCCAGGTGGGTGGGGAAGGGCATATCTGCCCCCTAGTGTTGTCTGCATGTCCCCGGATGACCTTTGCAGGGCCGGCGTGGTGACTCCAGGCCTCACCGAAGACCAGCTGTGGAGGGCCAAGTATGTGTACGACTCTGCCTTCCATCCCGACACGGGGGAGAAGGTGGTCCTGATTGGCCGCATGTCAGCCCAGGTACCCATGAACATGACCATCACCGGCTGCATGCTCACCTTCTATAGGTAGGTCCCGTGCTAGGGCTCCCTCCCCGAGCACTCTGTCCAGACTAGAGCGTAGCTTGATGACTAGGTGCTTCCTCCCTGGGCCCGTGTGGGCAGAGAATAGTAGGTGGGTGACAGCTCGTGTTAGAATCCCTTCCATTCCTCAGAACTCAGCCCCGGGGCCCTGCCACCCCGGAGACAGTCGGTGTGCTTGTGTAAGTGGGGAGGGGTCGCCAGAGCAGGATTCAGGCTCCTCAACTGGCTCCCTCCTGAAGGTTTGGGAATCACCTTCGGGGTTTCGTTATCAGGGTCCAAGGATGAGGGGCCCGATGGAGGGGAAAGCAGTAAGTGTCTTTGTTCCCTCAGGAAGACCCCCACTGTGGTGTTCTGGCAGTGGGTGAACCAGTCCTTCAACGCCATCGTCAACTACTCCAACCGCAGTGGCGATGCTCCCATCACTGCGCGGTGAGAACTCGTCCGTGTCTGGGGACACCATTGCTCTCTCCTGTTTGATCCCGTCCACCAAGGGCCTGTGCGGCCAGTGTCTCTGTGGCCTCCTCTCAGCCTGCCCTCCTGCCCACCTCCCTGCCTGAGGACATAAGGTCCTCCTGTGTGTGCTTTGGGGGGGCTCACTCTTCTTCAAGGGGAGGGGTTGGGGCTACCCTGGAGCAGGGGAGGCATTCCTCTGCAGTGAGACCACCTTCCCACGCCTTATGGTTGAGGATTCCTCCTTGTCTCCCTGAAGGAAAAAGCCATATGCTGGACTGTTCTCCTTCCCTCTTATGTCCTGGCTTTCCCACCCACAGGCAGCTGGGAACAGCTTACGTGAGCGCCACCACCGGGGCTGTAGTCACGGCCCTGGGACTCAAATCCCTCACCAAGGTAAATGACCCCCGGTTCCACTGGTCCCCAATTATCCTTTATCCACCTCCTTCCCCATCACCCTTCCACGCCACCTGACAGGCTTCATGGAGCTCTTCCCAGAGTTCCTCACCACCCCATGGCCCTTAGGGCCACTAACGGGCATCTTTCCTCCCCCAGCACCTGCCCCCCCTGATTGGCAGATTTGTGCCCTTTGCAGCTGTGGCAGCTGCAAATTGCATCAACATCCCTCTGATGAGGCAGAGGTGAGTGGCCCCGACTCCTGGCCTGTGCACACCCAGCATGGGTGTGGGCACACCATCTAGTGGTGCACACCAGCCTGAGTGGGGACTGTCCTCTCCCTGAGCATGAGCTGCTGGGCCTAGTCTCAGTCTGACCCTAGGATCTGGGAGGAGAGAACCAGCCTTGGCCCTGGGAATAGCTGCCCATGAGGACATTGGGGGAAGGACTTGGGGCCTGTGATCTGACCCTCACCCCCTTCCCTTCTCAGGGAGCTGCAGGTGGGCATCCCCGTGACTGATGAGGCGGGCAAGAAGCTCGGCCATTCAGCGACTGCGGCCAAACAGGGAATATTCCAGGTGGTGATATCGAGAATCGGCATGGCGATTCCTGCCATGGGTGAGCCAGAGGGGGCTGGGTGGGGCACAGGAGGCTGTGGGAGAAAGGCGGTGTAGTTCTTCCAGGGTTTTGAGGATGCGTGGTGATAGTAGGAAGAACTGTGAAGGGGGCTTCCCCTTCCCTAGGGTCCCTTCTGTCCCTTCACTTACTCTTTCCCTCCCTGCCTGCTCTCCCCTCAGCCATCCCCCCCGTGATCATGGACACTCTGGAGAAGAAAGACTTCCTGAAGGTAGGTCACTCTCACCTCTCCTGTCCTGGAAGTAGAGGTGACTGGGAGCAGCAGTGACCAATCCCTAAGTCTAAGGCTTGCCACCTGTTTGCTCCACCCTTGTGCTGCCTCCTCTACCCTCAGTCATTTAGCAAGAACGGATTGCGCTGGAGTGAAGGAACACTGAGTGAACAGGAGGAAAAGATAAGGGAAGGAGGGAAACGGTTTCTATCCGGAAGGAAACTGGTGTCACTCGGAGCCTCTGACGCACAGCAGGGATGGACTATCATAGTCACACTTGCTATCGCACTCATGCTGTCACATAATGACAACAATGACATATGCACACGCACAGACAGGACAGGGAGGCAAGGCACAGGAATACATGCTCTGGCTCATTCGATGGATCATTTACTCACAAATTTATGCACATTTGAGTAAAACCAACTATGCACATCTGAGTAACAGAACAGGGTCCATGTGGCTGGAGCAAATGGAGAAGAGGGTGCAGAGCAGATGTTTGAAAAGGGACAAATTCCTGCCACTGAGATGGGAGGAAATGAGTGGAGGGTCAGAGGAGGCTACCTAAAGATGGCAGCTCCAGGAGGAAGTGAGGGAAGAGAAAGGGGCCGAGAATACCATGGGATCTAATTCTGAGGCCAGAATGGGTGAGGCGATGGGGTGTTAGCAAACAGGCCTGGCTGGAGTGGAAGGTGTGATCTAAAGGTCCCAACCCTGTTATACGTTTGGAAGAAAGAAAAAGACCATGTATCAGTGGCTGAAAGAAAGGGCTGATGGGATAGAGCCATGGTGAGTGAAATGGGGCGGGGGGCAGCACGGGCAGGGGACTCATGTCATTCCATTGTCTCTGTCTCCCACAGCGCCGCCCCTGGCTGGGGGCGCCCCTGCAGGTGGGACTGGTGGGCTTCTGGTAAGTGCTCAGGGAGTTAGCTAGGGGTGTGGGAGTGTCCTTTCCATGGTGGATGTGGGTGGGTATTTATTGCTTTTAAGATGTTCAGATATACATCATTCATTCATACATTGTGAAGGTAGGGGTGTTGGACACCCGTAGGGCATACTGTCTGTGTGAGGGGTTGATCCCTGTCCTTGAGAGTCAGGAGTTTAGTTGAAGGGGTTCCAGTCTTCCTCTCTGAGAGGAAACCATGAGGATATACAGGTTGGTACCATCCAGGAGCTTTATGCACCTTGAATTTCCGATTCCCGCTCTCTGGCTGGGGAACTCTGGGTTCTTTCCTCAGCCAGTGTTGGCTTTGCTCAGTCACCATCCCTAGGGGCAGTGTCCAGAAATGGGGTGGAGTGTAGGAACACCCTTAGGTCAAAGCTTCACAAACCTTTCCAACATCTTCTCCCCAGCCTGGTATTTGCCACCCCCCTGTGCTGTGCCCTGTTCCCCCAGAGAAGGTAAGTGCTCTCTCCACCATGGGCTTGGCTGGGGGCTCTGAATGGCCTCCATATCTCTGGAACCAGCTGACCTTAGGGTCCTTCATCGCGTTCCAGGAAGAGGCCTGGCAGGCACTCAGCTTATTCTGGGGGAGGAGGAGCGTCAGTGACCTGGGCCTCCTGCCCTTTGATGGAGATTCTTCAGCTTGGGAAGAGGAGGGATGGTGGTCCCTTAGCCTCAGGGGGGTTGGGTTGAGGGGACACTCAGCCTGGCTGTGCTGTTCTGTTGCAGCTCCATACACGTGAGCAGGCTGGAGCCAGAGCTGAGAGCTCAGATCCATCAGCAAAACCCCAGCATCGAAGTGGTCTACTACAACAAGGGGCTCTGAAGGAGAGTCCGCCCTGGCCCTCCCTCATCTCCTTGGGCTGCTGTGTCTCTGGAGCTTGCCACTTTCTCTTCTACCTAATATTAAGCAAGGGGCTTGGTGGGGAGCAGCCATTGAGACCAGCAATCCACTAGGCTGGGAAAGGTACCTAATCAGTCTTCTTCTCCCCTCTCTGATTCCAAAGAGCAGGCTCACGTAACCCCTTTTGCTACACTCGTGTGTCTTCGTATATGCACATGTGATACATGTGTACACACTGTCCCGGAAGCTAGGAGCAGTCATGCTGTCCTGAGATGTCCTGGGCTGGCTTCTCCTCTTGGCCTCCTGCCACCAGCCAGCCAGTCAGCCAGGCTCTGGGACTTAGTTCCACTGGCGAGTCATTTCTCACAGCACCTCACTCCTTCCGGACATAGGAGAAGCCCCAGGATCTCAGGACAGATGGAGGGACAGGAGCAAACCAAACGAACTAGGTTGAATCCTCCAGGTTTCTGCTTCCTAGCTCCCAAAGCTGACTCGGGAGCTGGGCTGGCAGAGGAAGGCCTGTCGGGCTCAGAGAGGCAGGGGGCTTATGCTCTATCCCCACATCCTGGAATAAATCACTTCCTCTCCTCTCCGCTGCTCTACCAGAACAAAGGAATGCCAGCATCCTGCACTGTTCGTGCCAGCTTCCCCTGCCCCCTCTTCTGCAGTGTGGCCGTCTTCGGGCATAATGCTGGGAGTTCTTGGTCCATTCTACATTATAACCTCAAATCCAAAACCTACAACCCCAACCCTCTCCCAAACCCTCTACCAAAAAGTCACCGAGGCAGAGAAGCATTCCAGAGCTCCCATCGCACCTTCTTCCAGAGGGGCACAGCTGTGGGAAGTGCTTAAACCCCACAGGTATCTGAATGGGTGTAACTAGTACACTCTCAAGGGCAACTAAGGCCACAAGCGTACGATCTTAAGACAGGGAATTTTGTGTTCCTTTGACCCTTGTTAGACACTCCGTAGGACTCCATCACCTTAGCTCCTTTTCCTTCTGAAGGCTTGGCCCTGCTCCCACTCCCTCCCCCAAGAGGAAGAGGGGCCCAAGCATCAATGGCTAGTCCAAGGCTGAGGTGGGCTTGGGGGTGGAGCATGTGCTAGGTGCTAGTAAACTAAGAGTATGGAGCTAGATCTTGACCCCCCTCCCATGACCGCTGGCGGAAGTGGTAGGGTGAAGGCCCCAGCAGGATCCCCTAAGAGCATTTTCCTGCTCCCAACCAGCTGCCACCAATAACTAAAGCTATGATGCTGTTGTTACTCAATAAACTGAAAACTTGTATACTTCTTTTTAAAAGATATATATTTTTATTGATTTCATAGAGGAAGGGAGAGGGAGAGAGAGAGACAGAGAGAGAGAGAGAGAGAGAGGGAGAGAGAGAGAGAGAGAGAGAGATCAATAAGAGAAAATCATTGATCGGCTGCCTCTTGCATGCTCCACACTGGGGATCGAGCCCGCAACCCAGGAATGGAACTGCGATCTCCTGGTTCATAAGTTGATGCCCAACCAATGAGCCATGCTGGCCAGACTCTACTTCTTGATCTTCACTTGATTCTAGGCCCTGAGTACCTAGGAAGAGCCTTTACTTCTCTCCCCACAAAGTCCTGCTCTTGGTCTCTTCCCTCCCCTCCTGTAGGGAGCCTCAGCTCCCAGCAGAGGGCACTCTGAGATTAGAAAATCAGTCTTCCATCAGCACCCTGAGTACTCAAGGAGAGGGAATGTATGCAGTAGATGCTCTCCTATTCCCTCAGCAGATGGAGTCCTGCTTTGTTTTCTTCTTTGCTAGGGGTGCTGATCACACCTTGGTTCTCTTCAGGCATTTGGTAGGGGGCGGTAGCATCTCCCAGGGAGGCCCCTGCATAGAGGAAGAGCTAAGGACTGCCCAGTGTCATCAGAGAAATAGTGCAATGACACACCCTCCAGACCCCTGCCTGCCCCCATTGATACACAGGGAAACACATCTGACAGGGTCCATTAGCCCCTTAACACCCCTTCTGCCTACCCCAGGGCCCTCTACTCCCTCCCTGCTTCTGTAATCCCCCCCCCTTCCTTCCCCCGGGATATATGAGGCTAAAAGTTCATGCCAATGTACAGCTGGTGAGAGCTACTATTAAACAGTTTAGAGTTGTCTCTTTTACCCTAAGCCTTGGCTTTGGAAGATTCAAAAGAATAAACATGAATGAGTCTATATTAAAGTCCATTCCCTATTCACTGTATGAAACACCTCTCATCTCCCTTTTTTCAGCCCAGAGCTCTCAAACTAGGGGGTGGGGAGACATCTTTAGGGCCAAATGGTCCCAGAGCAGCCTGAAGTGAGCTTGTTATCGTGGCCTGGGCTTGCTCACTCCTCTCGGGAAGTTTACTTGCATGGGCAGGGGGAGTGACACCAGCTTCTTACTGGTCATTGAGTCCTGCTGTGTGGTGACAGGCTTAATGTAGTAAAAGTCCATTATTGCATTCAGTCTTCACTACCACTCCTGCGAGGCCAGACACATTGTGTTCCTTCTTAGCAAAGTTAAGAAAGTTGCCTACAGCTACACCACTGGGAGGTGGTGGAGGCAGAATGCAAGCCGAGCGGTGTTCCTGAACCCACTGTGCTATGCTTCTTTACCTGCCAGCTGCTAGCTGAGCGTGAAGTCCTTTTCCTAGTCCCTTTGACATTTAAGATGGCAAAACTGATGGGCCCACACGTGTACATGGAGCTTTTTACTGAAAAGCCACTGAGGGGGTTACAAGTTTGAGGGTTTTATACCTGAAGTAGCATAAGCAAAGCTTCCCATTCTTTCTTTATTTGTTGTTGTTAATCCTCATCTGAAGATATTTTTTTCTATTGCTTTTTAGAGAGAGAGTAGGAGGGAGGGAGGGAGAGAGAAACATAGGAGAGACATTGCAGGGAGTGAACCCACAACCCAGGTACATGCCCTTAACTGGAATCAAACTTGAGACACTTCAGTGTGTGGGCTGATGCTCTAACCACTGGACACACTTGCCAGGGCAAGATTCCTATTCTCGATTAAATAGGGAACCAGTTCAATTCCGTTCCGTTTTGTTAGCACCTCCCACCAAGCCTCCTGGAGCCTTGAAATCTCTGCAGTTTCCATTTTGGCCTTTGGTAAGCCCCTTAAAAAAAGGCCTTGCACTTTTATTGGAAATTCTGTGTAATATAAACCCACTAGGGGAGTGAGGTGCAGGAGTCTGTATTATATATATATTATATATTGGAAATTCTGTGTAATATAAACCCACTAGGGGAGTGAGGTACAGGAGTCTGTAAAACAAAATCATTAAGAACATTTTATGGCAGAATTATCTGTGCTCTGCAGATAACACCAAACCATCTCGGAGAGAAGACTGGCCAGGGCACGAGTGGGCCAGTTAGGAAGGAATGCTTTCCTGCCATCGTTCCTCATTCCACACTCGCTTCTCAAAGCAAAAAAAAAAAAAAAAAAAAAAAAAAAAAAAAAATTAGGCTAACTTCACATGCTCTCTCGGGGCAAACCCAAGCCAGGTACATTTTCCAAACTGCCTCCGCTTACTCAGACTTTTCCATAAAAGCCCGCATTTGGGCAGAGGAGGCTCTTTTCTCACTGGAAAGTAATCTCCCCGATCTTGGGCCCCCCGCTTCCTCCTTGTGCTCAGACTCCTGTGGGAGCCCACATCCGTGTCCTTAGCCTCCCTCCCCTGCCTTCTTTCCCTGGCCTGGCCTCATCTGCTTCAGAGCCCCCACCCTGCCCATTATTAAGAAAGTCCAGCCCTGCTGCTTTGGCTTAATGGTTGGAGCGTCGGCCTGCTCCAACCATTGAGCCAAATGAAGGGTCACAGGTTCGATTCTGGTCAAGAGCTTGTACTTTGGTTGCAGGCTTGAACCTTGCCCAGGGTCTGGGCACATGCAGGAGTCAACCAATCCATGTCTCTCTCTCACATTGATGTTCTCTCTCTCTCTCTCTGTCTCTCCCCTTCCCTTCTATTGACTAAAAATCAATGGGAAAAAATCCTCAAGTGAGGATTAACAACAACAACAGAAGTCCACAAACCTCTCTCTCTCCCAACCCAAGGTCTAAGGGAAAAATGGCTTGGTTCTGGAGCCCTGGTTTAGCCTGGCCACAGGAAAGGGGCCATGCATCCTGCTATCTTCCCAGGTCACGGGACTAATGAGACCGGCGTTTTAGGGAGAGGTTAATCCCCAAGATTAGTCCCTATTGGTTAGGGCCAGCTTTGATTCGGGCCCTGTGGGCTCATGTGAGTCAGACTAGTCTAGTCCTGCGGGGTTCGGTGTCCTAGGGGTTCAAGCCAAGCCCCCAGTTTCCTCCTAGTCAAGCTTGTCAATCTCAAGCCAGCCCCGCCCCGTGAGTCTGTCAGTCATCAATAAAAGCCACACCTCTAGCCAATCAGGAGCAGAGTCCCGCCCCTGCTGTGGAGCCTGTCAGTCAGGTTTGACTCCACCTTCTTCCCGTTTCCCGGGCAACGGCTTTAGCGTCGCAGGCCTCAAATACAATTCATCTTCTCTACCTGAGCCTGGATCCTACGTCTCAGATCAACTTCCTGGGTGACCTCGGTCCTGCACCGAAAATCCGCCAAGTCCCCCTTCTTGCCAAGGAGCGCCTCAGCGCCCGCCCTCTGACTTCCTGCCTGGTAGTCTTCTAGGTTTTCAAGGAGTCACGGGAGGCCTCTCCTGGGTCCCAAGCCCCCGGGACTATTGGCTCTGTCTTTTGCGTCGTCCATCCCGCCTCTTTCTCTTCGCCCTTGCGTCCCATGTTCAGGACACGTTTACTGAACTCTGATAAGAGCGGGCCTCTGTGCCCGGCGCGGGGTGGAAATGACCTGCTGGGTGAACAGATTCCCTTCCCGGCTGCAGGTGCACAGCCTGGACCCAGGAGACCTTAGGGCGCCTCTCCCTCTCCCCTCAATGTCAATCTCCCCACACGCTGCAGTGACCTCGGGTTCTCATGTGGGGGCAACCTTTTGCTAGAAATTGTGGGGGGATCTTTATCCAGTGGGATCATTTCCCAAAAGGGAGCTTCCTTCTCTCTTCCTATGTACACAATGTCTTTTTACCGCTGCCAGAGGGATAATGGCACCCTCAGCTTCTGGCCACAGCCTCGTTCAGCTTCCTTTTTTCAGTCTTCTCAGACAAGGGAGGTTTTGCAACTGAATTAACGACAAGGAGAATGTGGGAGGAACCCTGCATAGCTTGGGCTACACACAAAACTCCTTCCTCCTGCTGAAACTGGTTTGGCTCAGTGGAAAGAGTGTTGGCCTGTGGACTGAAAGGTCCCAGGTTCGATTCCGGTCAAGGGCATGTAACTTGGTTACAGGCACATCTCTATTAGTGGGCGTGCAGGAGGCAGCTGATCAATGTTTCTAGCTTTCTATTCCTCTCTGTAAAAAATTAATAAAATATATTTAAAAAAAACAACCCTTCCTCCCCACTACTTCATACATCCAGTAGGAAAATAACCCAAACAACAAGCTTCAGAGTGACATGTTTGCTTATGGAGCAAGAATTTGCTATGTTAATCTATAAATTAACCAATACCACATATGTTATTATTTTTAAAAAATAATTACTGGAAAAAGATTTTATTTTTATTTATTTTAAAGTTGGATTTTTTTTATTGATTTGAAAAGAAAGCAAGAGAAACATTGATTTATGCCATCATTGATTGATTATGTGCCCTGACCAGGGATTGAACATGCAACCTTGGTATATCAGGATGATGCGCTAACTAACTGAGCTCTCCAGCCAGGGCTACTTGTATTATTATTTTTTAAAAATATATTTTATTGATTTTTTTACAGAGAGGAAGAGTAAACAGGGGGATGTGTTGGAAGGATTTGTCCGTAGCTC